CCCTAATTAAACTAGAGTCGGCCCATAAACTTAAATCACATACACGTTAGATACTTGTATGACGGCTCCAAGAAAACCCTAACTGAAAACATATTAAAAACCTTAGTTAATGTATTTATATAATTAACCTATTCAAATGTAACAATTACCAAATTCAAATAATTTAATTTTTAAAACAAACAATTTAACAAGTAATTCAATTAAATACAATTAAATCAAATAAGTCACAAAATGCAAATAAATCAACTAAAGCAATTAAAAGCAACTAATCAAATAAGTCACAAAATGCAAACAATCTCAAATAAATCAACTAAAGCAATTAAAAGCAACTAATAAACATAAATAAATAATTAACAAACAAAAATACACTCAAATAATTTATTAAAATACCAGGACTATCTTTTTTTAAAATTAGGGGTATTACACGAGCTGGGGATCAAGTCCTGGCATCTCGCTATAGGTCCATGCGAAGACGTTCGAGAATTCCTTCAAGAGGCAAATAAGGCCATCGTGCAACGATGGGTCCAATTGCGAGGAAACGAAAGTTGCCCGTGTTTCTCGTCCTACAGGGGCGAGATTGACTTCCTCGAGATCCGGCAGTTGCAATGGCTCCTCCTTTACACTCGTAGGCTCAATAACTAGGCTCACCAAGGTGGAGCCCGCACACCATCATAAGCGATAGACATATCGCCCATCCGGCAGCCTCACTCGTTTACACTCCCACGGGGTAGCGACTTTTGCACCGCGACAAAGAACATACAGCTATGGAGGGTAAAAAATGCCCTACTATACCTCCTCCCATTTGGGTAACGGAGTACGAATTATATGCGCCTCTGCTTTTTCATCCTCGTCATCCAACTCATCAAAGAAGAGAGCCTCAGTAAAGTGTGCCTCATGCTTGGCAAAAGGCTTATCAGAGCACGGAACCATGACGACCTTGTTACCCAAGATGCCTTTGAAACATTGATGGTAGGTAGAAGCTACTATGCTGAAACGGTGCATCCACGCCAGCCCGAGGAGCACATGATAGGATGTATCAGCCTTGATGACATGGAATTTGGTGGGAGCTCGAAATCTACCAACCGCGAGATCAATATTTATATAACCGAGAGTCTGGTGGGATTCGTTGCCGAAACTATAGACCTCGATGGTTTCTTTGACAAGGCGATCGTGGGGCAAACCAGCTTTCTGAAAGGTGGCCCATGGCATGATGTTGATGGAAGACCTGTTATCTAGAAAAGCGCGCCGAAATTCCTTACCATTGAGTTGCGTAGTGACATAGAGTGGACAATTCTGAGGGGTAGAGACCCTTTTATCAGATTCAGAGAAAGAAATGGTCAATGAAGCCTGGTGAGAGGAGGGTTGACTTGACGGAGCGGCTGCACAGCACTCTTCCTCGCTGTATTGCGCTTGAACCTTTGATTGCATGGGATTGGTTTCTTCCAACTCGTCATAATACATGACCACAGCCACACCGCGATGATAAGGGTACGGATTACGCTGCATATCCTTTGGCGCGGTCAACTCGAGATCACCACCCTCGAGCCGTTGTTGAAAAATTCGCCTCAAAGTCCTGCATGCACTTATTGGATGTGAAGTGGTTTGGTGAAAGATACAAAAATTTGGACTCGCACGATCCTACGCGGTTGGCTCTTTGTGAGGAACGGGTAGCACGACTACACCGTGCTTAACCCACTATTCGAGAGTACTGGCAACTTCTTCCATACATACCGGGAATGGGGGAGGATCATTTGTTCGCTCAGCTCGAGATACCTTGGCCCTAACATCTGTCTCGCGACGCTTTTTTCCCTGTCATTACTAGGAGCAACCGGCGTGTCCTTGCGAGTGACCTGTCCAACGACCTCTGCCTTGGGAGATGCAAGATCTTTATAAAATGTTCCGTACAGCTGTAGTGAGATCACTGAAGTTGTTGAGACCCAAATTGACTAAGTGTATCCTGTAGGTCTTAGTCATGCCTTATATGCAAATATCAACCAGATCCCTTTCACTGCTACCCTCGAAGCATTCCCTCGCACGGGTCTGGAAACGAGAAATGAACTTGGGGCTCTTCGTGAGATTCTTGCGTTTCTTTGGTGAGAGAGAGAGTAGTGACCCTCTCGATGGCTTGACCAAACTTATCGTGGAACTTCTGGGAGAGTTGTTGCCAAGTGGTGACCGAGTCTGGCTCGAGACTACGAAACCATTTGTACACGAGCCCGGTGAGAGACTTGGAAAATTCTCGCAGGCGTAGGATTTCGTCATGGCTATGTTGGCCTAGAGATTCCACGAATTTTTGCAAGTGCTCATTGACATCCCCTTTGACACCGTCATACTTGGGAAATTTTGGGATGATGTACCCCTGTGGATACGGTGTCTGAGCCAGGCTTTTTGGGTATGGAGGCTCAGTACGCAAAACTAACGCACATACAGCCGATGGGGCATGCATCATGAAAAAATCATGTAGCATAGATTCAATGACATATTCCGGGGAGGGGTTTTCCAGTGGAACTGTTTGAACTGGGGTGGGCTTTGGGGCTGCTTGGGCTTGCGTCGGCGGATACCATAGCGATGGCACATGAGTAGATGAACTACCTGGCTGGTCATGCTCAGGAAGGACCACTCTAGTGGGAGAAACAGTTTTGGCTCGTGCACTCTTCATGATCAAGGCTTCTAACCTATCAAGGCGGTCGTTAAGATCACGGTTGGACTGCAACAACTCCTCATGAAATAGCAATTAAAAGAGATATCAAGAATACAAATACGAAGGAAAACAGAGGAGATGCTTAGTGTAGGAAAAGGAGAAGAAGACCAACTAACAAGATCAAGATGGTGGTAGGGCGAGTATACAGCATGACAGCTTTTCTTTTGTTCGAAAGAGTTCCTTCTTTCTTTATAGGACAGTGCCATTTATAGATCAAGATTCCATTGGTCATTATCCAATAGTTCCCTCTATGCATGGTTCCTCGCATGTATCACCCCCAATCCAGATTACGTGAGTAATCCTGAAGATTTAGGGGTCTAAAGGGTCTAATCCTTTCCTCGAGCCTTGTCCCATGTTGCCATGTCACTTCTCCCCTAATCAGGGGCACTAAATGTTGCTTGGCCGTCGGTTGGTCAAGCCTGACACAACATTAATTGTGATTTTAAAGTTTGTTGTCACAACGTGTATAATCCCGTCATCTTGTTAATTGGGCCTTGCCGAGAGCGAAGGCACCTCTTGACTTCTCATCCACCAATCCAAGATCCTCCTAAGTTTCCTAAACATGGATTCCTATAACACAAAGATCCTACCTTATCTCGTGCTAAGGAGCTCCGATCTTTCAGGACAGCATCATCTAGCGTAACACCAGGATTCGTGATATTCGAGAATCGATCTCTCAAGACGTGATGGGCCTGGTGTGGCGCCAGGATTTGGAATGCTCGAAGATCAGCTTCTCGAGGCTTACTGAGCCTGGGGCGATGCCAGGGCTTAGAGTGCTAGAGATTTGATCTTTCGAGGCTTGAGGGCCTGGAGCGATGCCAGGGCTTAGAGTGCTCAAGATTTGATCTTTCGAGACTTGGGGGCCTGGAGTGATGCCAGGGCTTAAAGTGCTCAAGATTTGATCTTTCGAGGCTTAAGGGCCTGGAGCGATGCCAGGGCTTAGAGTGCTCGAGATTTGATCTTTCGAGGCTTGAGGGCCTGGGGCGATGCCAGGGCTTAGAGTGCTCAAGATTTGATCTTTCGAGGCTTTTGACTTTTCAACTTGCCACGGAGGGTTGTATTGACTTGTCAACGTGCCACATCAGCGTCTAATAAGTGACACCCATAGTGTTTTACATGACTCGGAAAATAATTTTGAATCTTGTTTTTTTTTGGAAAGTTAAATAATTTTGAATCTTGCTACCAAGGATTATTGTAATCTTTGTTCTAGTTAAGAGTATCCGGGGCGTAACTATTTTTAGAGTAAAATTGTCAGTTTAGAGAGAGTGAAATTGTGTCAGTATAGAGAGAGAGAGGGGGGCGGTGTGTAGAATGAAGTGGCGTGACTTTTTGTGGGCCCTACCAACATTATTTATACCATTCTCTACAGATGGAGCGGCCAATGGAGAATACTCTATAATTTTTTTTCTTTGTTTAAAGAATCTGATAGATGCTGGACCAAGCAAAAAAAAGGCAGCTTCTCCATAATTTTTTTTCTTTGTTTAAAGAATCTGATCAAGAGAAAAGCAAAAAAAAAAAAAAAAAAAAAAAAACAGCTTCAATGAATAATTTTTTTCTTTTTTTCTTTAATGTAATTTTCTTTTTTTTTTTCTTTCTTTTTCTTTTTCTTTTTTTTTAATGGATTTTTTAAAAATTTCTTGACAAATCTAATCGAAATAAATAATTTTTATAATATTTTTTATTCATCAGCAATATGAAAATTACATTTTATTTGACTACAACAAATTTAAAGCATCTTCATCACCAAATTTCATCCACAAATGTTAGAATGAGTGGTTTATATAGAAATTAAAATATAACCGTTGAAAATATAGCCGTTGGAATATAGCCGTTGGGAAGAAGACAAAAAATTATTAAATTCAATTTCAAATTTCTTATTTAATTTTTAAATTAAATTTATAAAATAATAATAAAATAATAAATAGATAATGAGACAGTTGGTATCCACACTATAGAACACATGGATAACAAAAAATAGAGTACCGCGTCATTATTTTTTTGTTTACGTGGCACTCTATTTTTTAAAAAGTAGATGGATAAGATTTTGTGTCCACACCACTTGCTTTAATGCTGTCTTTGTTTGTTGGGAGGAGAAGAAAATAAAAACTTAAAAAATAATTTAAAATTCGAATATCGAAAATCAAATGAGGGAGAAGGGATGGAAGCCAGCACAAAGCCAGCGTTGGCAACTTCCCCTTAAATCCTAAATCCTAAATAATGTTAATATTATTTTTGTGAAATTCTATAAAATATACTCTTCTAGAATCATCTTTTCTATAAAATCTTCTATTTCTTCTTTTCTTCTATCTTTGCACGACTCTTTTTTCCCTTACAAATTTATTTGATTGCTTAACCGGCCTTAATTATCTACCTTCAAACTTCTCTCATTTTATTTAAATTTTCCCGTGAAAGTGACAATGTTTAGCTCGCTCTCTCTCTCTCTCTCTCTCTCTCTATATATATATATATACATATATAATCCACCACTTCTACCGAAGTGTTAGGCGGGACCATGGGATGGTCTCATGTGGACTGACTTGCAACTACGTAATAAAGAGGAGCTTGTTATAAAATCACAGACAGACACATATGGAGGGTGAGGCAGAGGTGAAGCTATTGGGGGCATGGTTCAGTCCATATGTTCAGAGGGTGAAATGGGGTCTGAAGATGAAGGGAGTCCATTACCAAGACATAGAACAAGACCTCACCAACAAGAGCCCTCTTCTCCTCAACTCCAACCCTATACACAAGAGAGTACCTGTCCTGCTTCACTCCCACAAACCACCAATCTCTGAGTCACTGCTCATCATTGAATACATTGATGAGACTTGGGAACACAACCCCTTGTTGCCTCTAAGGACCCTTATCAAAGAGCCATGGCTAGATTCTGGGCTAAGTTTGCTGAAGAAAAGGTATGTATGTGTCTCTTATTTTCTTCCATTTATTTGGTCAAAACAATGGATTTATGGTCAGATGCTACATATTATAATGTACAGAACCTTGCTAAAAGAAAAAAAGATAGAAAATTAGATGTATCAAGCGCATGGTTTGTAATTTCGGTTACGATCGTGGTATCGATGACTTTGTAACAGATTCGGACAAAGTAAGTATAAACTGATCGATATGGATCGCGTATCGAACTTAAAAAATGGTCAATATAGCACACCATGATCAAGTGTGCTGATTTTTCATTGCTGGTCGAGCAGATCTAAAGTGTTCATATGTTCAAAATCAGCTGGAGTCTTAGTCAACTTAGACCGTCTCTAATGCCTAGTAATCTTGGCCCCTAAAATTATAATGAATCTTTTTATATAAAAATTCATTGCAATTTTAGGTTTCATCTTATATTCTTTGGTTGATCCAGTGTGCCAATTTTTCATTGCTGATCCAATAAATCTAAAATGTTTATATGTTCAAGATCAGTTGGAGTCTAAGTCAACTTAGACAGTCTCTAATGCCTAATAAACTTGGCCCCTAAAATTGTAATGAATCTTTATATTCTTTAGCTTCAACACATAATATATTAATAGTGGGCCATACAATTTAATTCATGCTATATTAATTTCCATGAAGAAGATGCATGTGTATCCACAAGTGACACCTAGTCACTTTGCTACCTTTTCTATTATACTAAACTCTCCTGTATGTTTTCTCCTTGTTAATGTCTCCCCATTTAACTAAAATTCCTATCCATCTCTCTCATATTTATTTCCTGTCTTTTATTCTCTTATATTTATTTCCTATTTTTTATTCTCACGAATCTTTTCGTATCTTTGAACTCTTCAATATTTATTTTCTTGCAAACTTCCACTTTATATGTGTTGCAAATTAATATTCCAGTTGGGTAGTAGGGTACACTACAGTAGTGGCAATTGTCCCTCTTGAATTTTTTTGCTATTTGTATTTTCTATACACATATTTTGATAATTATAAAAGTGCCCTCACTGAACTAGTAAAAAATTTATAAAAATCCTTAAAAAAAAAACTTTCAAAATTCAGAAAGACTCCTCATATTTTAATTCATTTGCCAACATGATTATCAAAATTCAGAGAAAAAAGGATTCGTGTCTTTTCTCCTCCAATGGATTCCATAAAATATTTAAAATGCAAAACTCACACCTTTTTGAATGTTTATTATTTCAGATCAAAATTTATTATCATATTATTGTTTTTTTTTTTTTAATTAGATAAGTACTTACACATACTTTTATCGATTTTCAGACTCGAATCCTAAAAAGTAATACCATTGTCCTATATGTCTTTTGGTATTATCAAATTATTGATAATAGTAAATGGTTGCTCCTCCTTAAAGACAAAAAGCAAACTTACATTTTCAATTTTGTCAATCTGAACTGAAAATCCTAGATTTAAATTGCATATTATTTTTGGATAACAATAATAATTCTATTGATATTGTTGTAGTTTACTAAAGTGACAAGGAAAACACTATTTCTTGATGGAGAGAAACAAGAAAAGGAAGTGATGCAAGCCATAGATGCCTTAGAAATCATTGAAGGAGAGCTCAAGGGTAAGAAGTTCTTTGGAGGTGACACCATTGCGTATTTGGACATTGTCTTGGGGTGGATTGCTGTTTGGATTGGAGAGGTTGAGGAGGTTGCAGGGATCAAAGTGTTTGACCCTCTAAAGTTCCCCTGTTTGGATACATGGATGGGTTGCTTTTTAGAGTTACCATTCATCAAAGAGGGCTTACCACCAAGGGATGACTTGGTAGCCTACATCCACAAGTTCTGTCAACTTGTACTAGCTTTACCTGCTCAAATATGAGAGGTTTCGACACGAATTCTTGTTGTGCACGTGCAAACGATCTAAGTCGTTTCGTGTTATATAACACGGTGTTGTTACAGAAAATTACTGAATCAAAAATAAAGAGCTAGTTATGTCATGTTTCTAATATTATTATCTTAATACACTTAAGAGGCTTTTCACCATCTTTTTGCTTTGTTGAGAATGCAACACCATATCTCTTATTCCTAGTTTACTAACAGTGACCTATGATTAAATTTTTTTATTATTCAGTAATATTTTCAATGGGTATTGTTTGGTGTATTTTCAACTTTTTTAGCAATTTCCAGCTAGAGAAAAAGAAGAGGGTGCCAATTTTCATGATTTGTGTTCATAAATTTAACTAGTGTTAATCCAAATTCAAATTTTGGGTTATTGTTATCTCTGCATAAATGAGTTTAGACGAGAATAAATATATTATAAATAAGTCTAATTTAATTAAGCCGATGGTATATTTGGGAATACCGAATCGGCGCCTTAAATTTAGAATTTGACAAATTTTAGTTTATTGTTTAAACTTCTTCTTCATTTTTTTTTTTTTTTCAATTCCAATGCGTCAATTGCGTGCTTCCAATTACAACATAAGTATTTGTTTGTCCAATCAATCCCACTTAATTGTGCTTTCAACATGTGGTTTAAGCAATTGACTTATTAAACATTATTTGAGTTGTTAATCATGCATATCAATGATATACAGAGAGTAACTAATATAATACTTTCCGAAAAAAGAGTAAAACTAATATAACCATAAATGTATGTAATTGTAGCTATATAATAAGAGGATGAGAAATAGCGTGTTATAAAATCACAGAAAGTCATATGTGGAGGGAGAGGCGGAGGTAGCTATTGGGGGCATGGTTCAGTCCATTTGTTCAGAGGGTGAAATGGGGTCTGAAGATGAAGGGAGTCCAGTACCAAGACATAGAACAACAGCCCACTTCTCCTCAACTCCAACCCTAACACAAATCACCAATCTTTGAGTCACTGGTCATCATTGAGTACATTGATGACACTTGGAAACATAATCCCATATTGCCTAAGGACCCTTTTCAAAGAGTCATGGCTAGATTTTGGGCTAAGTTTTTTGATGAAAAGGTAGGTCACTTCTCTCTAACAAGGGAGAAAAACTTCTTGCCCCTGTGACACAGTGCAATGGGCGCAGCCAATTATCATGAGTGTATTGGATATATCTGTTGAGAGGTGCAACAGGCGCAAGGAAGCTTTTCTCCTAACAAGGGGTGCTTGTGCTCAAGATGACCTATTTTCTTTGATTAATCTAGTCAAAACAATGGATTTATAGTCAGATGCACTTGCTAAAAGAAAGAATAGAATATTAGATGCATCAAGAGTGCGAATCCCTTCCATCATGTCATTAACAAAATGTAATCATTAACAGATCTGAAAGAAGAGATTTGAATAATTAGTTAGGGGAGTTGGATCAAATTGAGGCTTGGCATAATGGTAAAGTTACTTTATTGTAATCTAAAGGTCATTGTTTTGAAACAAGGAAACAACCAAAGTTTTTTCGCATTCGGAGATAAGGCTGCATATGTTTGACCCTCCCTAGACTTTGCAATGACAAAAATCTCATGCACTGAGTTAACCTTTTTTTATCTATTTCGTGGTTGATGTCCTATCTTTATTCTAGTGGCTTTGGGTCTCAACTCCCAAATCCTAGATCCAGGTCTTAATTAAGACCGGTGAGACTTACCTCTATCCTAGTAACTTTAGATTTTAACTCTCAATCACTGAGTTGAGGTTCCAAGACTCGTGCCTAAAATCCTCTAGTTAGTGCATGGTAAATTGCATATTATTTCAATAACAATAATTCTATTGATATCGTTATAGTTTACTGAAGTGATGAGGAGATTAGTATCTCTTGATGGAGAGCAACAGAAAAAGTTAGTGGTCCAAGCCAAAGAAGCCTTGGAATTCATGGAAGGAGAGCTGAAGGGTAAGAAGGTCTTTGGAGGTGAAACTATTGGGTACTAGTACATTGTCTTGGGGTGGATTGCTCCATGGCTTGAAGTGGTTGAGGAGGTTGCAGGCATCAAAGTGTTTGACCCTCTAAAGTTCCCTTGTTTGGATACATGGATGGGTTGTTTTTTGGAGTTACCATTCATCAAAGAGAGCTTACCACCGACGGATATCTTGGTGGTCTACTTTAAGATTTGGCGCGCAAGCTCATACACGCCAATGTCATTTTCACACTTTTGCAAGTGTTAGATGATGATGCTCTATGGGCTGGAGTCATTGAGGAAGTTGTAGGCATCAAAAAAATTGACCCTCTAAAGTTCCCTTTTTTTTTTGGGAAGATGAATGGGTTGCTTTTCAGAGTTACCAGTGATCAAAGAGGGCTTAATGTACAGGCCCAAAGTGGGAGGTACCCAGATACGCATGGGCCACTGAGATTACAAAACTATGAAAGATCCGAGGCCCAACTAAGTCTACACACTCATTTACATGTCTTAAGACACTTGCAGGCTTTTTTTATCTCTTATATTTTCACCTTATGCGGGTTTTGTTGAGAATGTAGCATTGTATTACCAGGGTGTTGTAGCTCAGTAGTAGTATCTCTTCTATCTTTCAAAATGGATAGTGAGAGTTCGAGTCTTCAAAAAGATAAAATAAGTATGTGAGTGATGTGTGTGAGTTTCTTGCCAATAATAATAATAAAAAAAAAAAAAAAAAAAAAAAACTCTATCAAATTTAAAAAAAAAAAAAAACTCTATCAAATTTAACAAGTTTGCCACAGAGAGAGAGAGAGAGTGTGTGTTGGAGATCTAGTGATGTATCAGTTAAAAGAGAAAGACTTCTTATAATAGAATGTAAGAAACGAAAAGGACGGTCAAAAATTACATGGAATGAGATTATTAAAAATAATTTTTAAAGGTTAATTATGGTTGGTGAATTGACATATAATAGAAAATTGGAAAAAAAAAAATTCATACAGCCTAGCCTTAATCATGTGGGATTCCGACAAGAATGATGACCATGATGATAAATAGTACTAAAGCCGGAGATTGATTTTTTTTCTTTCTGAATTTACTCTGTGATCATAATTAAATTATATTGTTTTTTCTAATTGGTATTTATACACACATGTTTCCTATGAAACTTGAACCCCTGACCTCCCTTTGGAAAGTAAGAGGAAGGTACCGCTAAGTTACTGACCCGTTGGTTAGTTAAATTATATAACTTCTCATCCAATTCAATATGTACTTACAAGAATACCAAAAAGAGTAAGGAAAATGATAGGATCACCGAATGATTTTCTCGAATAAACCCCGAATCTGACGTATTTTTTGTCCACCTCACCTATTTGAACAGTTTCAAAAAAAATATTATTTAACACGTTATAAGTGTAGCCAATCACATTAAATTCGGAACTTATTCGGGAATTCCCTTTCAGTTTCCCTATCATTACTCAAAATGATAGGGGAATCGAAAAAGAATCATCGAATTAGTATCGATTTTGACGTGGTTAGTCATTCTTATCACGTGTTAAATAATTATTTTTGTAAACTGTTTAAGTGGATGAGGTGGACAAAAATACATCAGATTTCATACTTATTCGGGGTTAATTCATCTGTCTCCCTATCATTATCCTGCAAAGAAGAGTAATAAAAACCTGGCTTCTTAACATTAAAATGTAACAAAATTTAAGTAAATGAGAGAAAACATAAAAATAAAAATAAAATAAAATAAATAAATAAATAAATAAAATTTCATTAGAAGTTGAAACTATTTTTAAAATAAAAATAAATAAATAATTTGTTTATAGTTTATGAAAAAAATTTAGTGGGTAATCCTCAATCTCATTACTTCAGTTAAAATTCACATGATATGCAACACAAAAACAATGATAAGCACGACAAATTTCATATGCGCTCACTAGAGTCCCATCACTTTGAAGTTTTAGTATTAAATTGCAACCAATTTAATCACGAGGATAATAATAAATACAATGTCTAACAATTAACGAGATATGTGAAAAATATATTTCCTATCATTAATACAGTACTTATCATCAGGGTGTCCTCGAGCGGCACCACATCAGTACCTTACAAAATGATATCATCCCTTTGTTTTGTATTGCCGTTTCGAATCCCGAAAATTTTCGCTTCAAACATTATTTAAAGTCGAAACCAATACATAGTTTCCTGTATGAGATTTCTTATTCACTAGATCACTTGTGAGGGTCAATATATATAGGGTAAATTACATTGACCTTTCTTGAAGTTTGGACAAATTACATATGGTAAACCATTTAGTGTTTATTACTTTGACCTCATGTGAATCTGTTCGTCGGCCGTCGAAAAGTGACTTTGAGTATGAAAAGTCAGTAATGCCCTTATATTATAATAATATATTATATTGCATTTTATACCATGGAAGGGTAAAATCGTCATAGGAAAAAAAAATTTGGTATGGATTTGTTTTATTATGGAGACCCAAAAAGACTCGGAGCCAAAGGGAAGCCCTATGACTCATAGGCTATGAGTCGCTGAAACGAACGGCGGAAGGGCCCTTGATCTATCAACAGAGTGAGCAAAAAAAGGGGGGCTTTGCTCCCCTTTACAAAATGAAGAAAGAGAGAGAAACAAAGGGGTCTGGTACCCAATGTGGTCCCTTAAGAGCAGTCACTGCGTAAGGTGAGACTATACATGGCATGTTAAGTGAGATTCAAGTAGCGGCTAAGCCAAGGCATATGGCCCTTTATATCGTGTATGTTGTCGGTCTCTCTCTCTCTATCCATTGTGGTTAGGTGAGAGAGAAAGTAACCAACAAAAAAGGTTATTACCCTACAAATATGAGAAAATCAACTTGAAGACACCACACTCTAAATCCAAATCAACAAGTCAATAACCACTTCCAAATGTGGTTATAAAAAGTGAGTGAAAGGGACACACACAGTCTCTTATCACACATGATTCAACTATCAAAAAAAAAAAAAAAAAACTTGGTATGATCAAAATAATCTCCCTCCCTCTCTCTCTCTCTCTCTCTCTCTTCCTTTAATAATTGGGGGGTTGGAGAAAACTTACAATGTCCCCCTCCTGAGAGGTAAGGCAAGTCTAACTAATGGGCACCCACCAAGCCACTTTTAGATTGATTGATGACTTTTAGCTACATAAAGCTAGATTCACCTGTAATACCCCATGAATCTGATTTCAAATTGATTTCAGATTTTTCCACTCTAAAGCTTTCACTAAACTCAACAAAATGATGAGGTGGGTGAGTGAGCAAAAGTCTACAAAACATGTTCAGGTTTACCACTTGCAAAGTGCATATATAACACAAGATAAGTCAAAAACAAAAGAATTATATTAAATTTGATAATACATATCCAATACAAAAATAAACAATGTCCTAGGAGAGGGAATTAATGAAGGTGAAGGCCCAATACACCTACAACTGCCAAGCTCAGGGGTTCCTTGGAGTAGCATTAAAGACACTACTCTGCATTAGATCTTCTTCACTTCCACCATCCAAAAATCAAATTTTTACTTTTATATGCAAAAATATAAAGAAAAAGAAAATGGGATAGATTTATATGTAGAAAGGTGGATTGATTTCTTGATGATTTTGGGTTGGGAAAAACAAAAAGATGGGTTATGGGTCTATGAATCTCCACATGCCCTCTATCATCATTTTCATGTTCATGACATTCCATTGTATCCACATTGTTTGTGGCCTACAAGAGGTGTATGAGAAAGAGAATAATCATGTTGAGAAGGTCTCAGGAGAGGATGAGAATGAAGAAAAGAAAGCTTTGATGTTGGAAAAGTTCAGAACTTTGCTTGGACTGAAGAGCTTCAATGCAAGAAGTCCATTTAATGGTGATTTTGAATACGAATCACCGTCACCTTCTCCATCATCCACCATTGAAGAAGCTGAAGCTGAAGCTCCAGCTCCACCTCCAGCTCCATCTCCTGCTCCAGTGTTGCCAATCCTTGTCCACTCTCATCCTCCCTCGCCGCGTTCTCGGCCGGTCCCACCACCACCCCACAAGGCTCAAAAGGAGGAAGGAGACAAAGGTAGACGCAAAAGAGTTCTGGTTGCAGCTCTTGTGTCTGTTGGAGCTACCATTGTAGTATGTGGCATTGGACTATTTTGTGTCTGCCAAAAGTTCAGAAAACAAAGAAAGAGATCAACAAGCATAGTGTCAACAACACATAGCACTGAAGGAGGATCAACTAGAGGTGGATCAAAGTATGTGAGTTCTCAAAATACATTGAAAAAGGTAAACTCTGATTTAACCCCTGACCTCTTTTACCTTGAATCACTAGGAACTGCTTTAGAATCACAACCATTTTGTGTCAAACAAGATTTAGAACCTGTGAACACATTAACCAATCAAGAAACATCAAACTCTACATTGCATGAAAGAGAAGACTCGGAGTCTAGTACTGCTAATTGTTTGGCTGCTGGTAAAATCATGTCCCTTCATGGGATAGAAGAATCGGTTAAGTATGATTCTGATGGATGTAATTCTTCATCAGGTAATAAAATAATTCCTGTTGACGCTGATTCATCTGATGATGAGTCCTTCCATTCTTTATGTGATTCACATTCACCTAATGTGAGGCTTTCCAATGCCTCAGTGGGTAGTCTTAGTGAAAAATCAGAAATTATCTCCCCAAATGTGTCAAAGACATCTTGTTCTGAGACCTCTCCTATGAACTTTGCAACTCCATTGCCTACCCCGGATTTCATCTTAACCTCGGTTTTGGATTTAGAGTCACATCCTCCCCAAATTTTCTCCCCAAATGTGTCAAAGACACCTTGTTCCAACACCTTTCCTATGAACTTAGCAATTCCATCACCTACCCCGGATTCCATCTCAACCTCGGTTTCAGAATTAGAGTCACATTCTCCCCAATTTCCCTGCAATACAAAACAGAATATGCAGGCAGCAACTTCAAACTCTTCCAATTGCCAAAACACTTTTGTGCCCCCACCACCGCCTCCTCCTCCACCTCCACCTACTCCACCACCACGAGTACACATTTCTCCCTCACATTCTTCTTCTTGTTCGACTAAGATCACATCTAAAGCTTTGAGTTCTTCTACACTGCCTAATTCTTTGTCTCCAAGAAATTCAGATTCTTCTTCAGGATCAAACCAAACGCCAAAAAGTGACATGCCACCTTCACCTCCTAATCCTCCAAAGCCTCTTGTGGGAATTCCTCCACCACCCTGCCCACCTCCATTTTTAAAAAGAAATGGTAATCCTCTGAAAGGGCCACCTCCTCCACCATCTCAGTTTCCTCGGTATACACCATTGGGTAAAGATGGAGCTCCACTGCCAAAATTGAAGCCACTTCACTGGGACAAAGTCAGAGCTGCACCAAACCGTTCCACGGTGTGGGATAAGATGAGATCAAGCTCATTCGAGTAAGACATTTTATTTTATCGACTATAATTCAGTTCATGTCTTTTATGTTTGGGATTAAAAAAATTTGAGGCTTGGAACAGATTGGATGAGAAAATGATTGAATCACTCTTCGGTTACAACTTACAAAATTCTATGAAGAACGATGAAGCAAAGAGTAAGAGCCCTTCTCCATGCAAGCATGTCCTCGAGTCCAAGAGACTACAGAACATAACCATACTCTCAAAAGCTCTGAATGCAACTTCCGAGCAAGTTTGTGATGCTCTGATACGAGGTTAAAATCCTAAACTTATATAATAGTTGCATAACTATTGACAATCAAAAGTTAGTTAGATATTTTGCATTATAAGAATGCACTTGAGGTAGTACTAATTAAGGATTAGGAGAGCTACAATGCATTGTGATGCGAGATTCCACTCGATTACAAGTCACCTACAGTCGATATTGTTAGAACATTTCTTCAAATCAAAATCACAATACCATTCTAAAAATCCAGATTTTTGAAGTCTCAAGTTCATTCTCAGAACAAATGATTTTAAAGTAAACTATTACTAAAAGAATTTTACCTCGTTATGACACAAATAAACATGTACACGTATGTATTTGGTGTTCTAAATTGAAAATTCCCCATGAGCAGGGAATGGCTTGTGCTTACAACAACTAGAGGCACTGGTGAAGATGGTACCCACCAAGGAAGAAGAGGATAAACTCTCCAACTATAAAGGAGACATTACTGAACTCGGTTCAGCAGAGCGATTCGTTAAGGCAATGCTTAAGATACCTTTTGCGTTTACAAGGTTTGAAGCCATGCTTTACAAAGAAACTTTTGAAGACGAAGTAGTTCATCTCAGAAAGTCTTTCTCAATGCTAGAGGTAACCATCAAACCATAGATCACACCTATTCTTAAGCATAGCGATATTTTGAAATGATTGATCCATTTTTTCGTAGGAAGCCTGCAAGGAACTCAGATCAAGTCGGCTCTTCTTAAAACTACTTGAAGCAGTCCTCAAAACCGGAAACAGGATGAACATTGGAACAATCAGAGGAGGTGCTAAAGCATTCAAGCTCGACGCCCTCCTTAAGCTTGCTGATGTGAAAGGAACCAATGGGAAAACTACACTGCTTCACTTTGTCGTCCAAGAAATTTCTCGTTCAGAAGGCATTAGAGTCTCGGAGAGCATTGTGGGAAAAATAAATCAGAAAAGTAGAAGCAGAAATGCCGAAGAAAGGGAAGAAGATTACAGAAGGATGGGACTAGAACTCGTTTCTGGTCTGAGCAACGAGCTCTTCAACGTGAAGAAGACAGCCGCGATAGACTTGGATGTTCTTGCAAGCTCGGTCTCTAACCTGTCAGATGGAATGGCTAAGCTGCAACATCTAGTACACAAGGACTTGTGTATGGATGAAAAAAGTGGGAACTTTGTGCACTCCATGAGATCCTTCCTTGGTCATGCAGAGAAGAATATAAAGGAATTGCAGGAAGACGAAAACAGAGTCCTATTACATGTTAGAGAAATCACAGAATACTTTCATGGAGATGTGAGCAAAGATGAATCCAATCCACTTCGGATTTTCGTGATTGTCAGAGACTTTTTGGGGATGTTAGATCATGTGTGTAAAGAGCTTAGAAGCTTGAAAGTCCCAAGAAGTCCAAATCCTCTAGCTCCATTCAGATAGATTAGGAGGCTTGGCATGTCTGTAGTCTAATACAGAGTTTACTGCATTATGAATTTGCAAATCTGTGTAACATCTTCCAAACTTTTTGTAAATTTTTGGGATACAGAGTGTTGTAACAATCATTAATAACATCTTCAATGAGCCTAATTTGGATTCTAAATTTCTCTCATGTCATGCACGTATATAAAGTGTGAAGTTTTTTAGTTTTTTTGGCAACAGGGGTATACAAGGAACATAAGATATTTGTGGCTTTTCACAATGCTATATATTCCACAGGCCTAGAAAATGATCAAATTTTCTTTTCTTTTTTTATTGAAATAAATTATTCAAGCTTTCACAATGTAAAGATTGGCCTAAGCACATTGCATTGTACTTTCATAGATCAGAGTATCATATTGCTACTCCAACAAGACAAAAGGTTAATACTTCAAACAGCAAATTTCAATGTTTATGCTTTTAGAATATTCTGCCAGAAAGAACACATTTTTTTAAGAAAGTTTGGATTTTCAATCCCAACTCTTGAAATGTATTATTTTTAAATGAATTTTGACAACCCAAACTAATTGAATATTTCAAAATAGTCAGTATTTTTACTTTTTATTTAAATTTTCTAATCATTTGGCTAAAATTTTTCTACAAAATTAAAACCCAAATCTATTCAAATTTAAGTTCTTCAGAGTTGTGTTTTCTTTTTAACATTTTCTCTTTCCAAATTGGCCAATTTTGAATTCTTTTTTTTTTTTTTTCCCCTTCTGAATTTACTTTATTTTGGACATTGAAATTTTGAGCATATTCTTGCTGAAAGGCAGTGGAAACTGGAGCATCAAGGAAAATGCTAGTTTTTATAAAGAGCATTTGTGTTATTTTAATTACAACTGATCCGATCACCTAATTCATAAATGGCGTGAGCTTTTAAGTTTTAGCAATGGCAACCAATGGATGGCACTTAAAAAAAAAAAGAAAAAAAAAAAGAAAAGAAAAAGTGAAGCATTTATTTTTTGCTGCTTAATTGTCAACACTGGTAGTTCCAAACTATTTTAATGCCAAATTTCATTTTTATCAAACGCCACCAAATAAAACAAATCTAAAATCAGTACTTATTAATGATATGGACAAAAAAATTCCCTTTTTTGTCACCATCTTTCTCAACCCTAAATCAAACCATTAACAAAGCCGCCAAAAGATAGAACTGATCCAATGTCCATTTCCTCATTATTCACACATTGCAACTGGCTTTTATATATTTTCCAAAATTAACTGTATATTGGTTGAAAACTGGAGGAAATCAACAAAATTTTTGCCACTTCAAATTAATTCTGAAATACACCTTAACAGTTTTGATCTTTGGAATTCAAATGAATTGATAAGCAAGGATAAGAAACAACCCATTGATTGCTAGAAAACATATATTGCAAAGGTGAAATAATTTAATTGCCGAGGTTTCATGATTGTTTTGAGAGTTTTGCAGCTAACCTTCCTCGAACTGTTCTAATATCCGGATTTTGTTTTCTTGATTTTCTTTTGCGTGGATTTCTTCCAGATCTCCTCCTTTCTAAGCGCTGACGACGTATCTCAGGATCAGCCCAGCCTTTTCCCCATTCTGAGAAAGTGGAAAAAGATTTGGGGGTTCTCATTGAAAGCAACATATCTGCTTCAGGGTACACATCGAATGATTGCTCCTCTCGGCAACTTAAAAGTTCCAACCCCAATTCTGTTGGCTCTGGAAATTTTATCTGAACACGAGTCTGCACAACGTAGTGAAGTTGTTATAATGAGACAAAAATCATAAAAATGAAAACAAGACAACTACATATACATGCAGTGAGAGAGAGAAGGAAAAAAAATTGCTCATGAAACAAGAAAACTAAGTCAGTGACATGCTAATTGATCCCAAAATACAAAAAATCTGTCCAACAATCCTTCTATTGTGGGGCACAATAAAATTCTCCAAATTCTGGAGAAATGTACTGGCAATTGTTCCAAATTGGTTAATTGTTTAATATATCTGAAAAATAAAAAATAAAAAAGATGCCCTTTATTAGCATTTTTGGTTTCCCAGACTCCCAAAGAACTTCCATCGCAGCACCATTGCAATAACAAAATCACACTAGCCATCAAACATTCTTACTCCTACACCTATGCAACTAAATTTAGGAAACTCGTATGCCACATTCACATTTACCCAACGGGCAAACTCATATTTGTTATAAACCAAGTGCACAAGCAGCACTACGTCCAGTATCAGGTTCTTTTGATCAAGCGGCAGGCTTAAAACTGTGAGCCTTTCTTTTAGTAAGTCCAAAGCTAGGATGGCCTTCTTGAAGTTAGTTCTTCTATAGCTATTTTTATATGTGGTGTTGCTTTAACCATTTACTGAAGCATTAAAGTGAGATTATGGTGACACACTTGTACATTTAAAAGTTTTCATTTCAAATAACTTCTGATGTATATGATTCTTTAGGTTGTAGACCCGGAGAACAATTTTCCTCAACCTGACCTATTTATGGCTCAAGTTGAGGAACCCTAAACTTCGGTTCGGTACAGGCCCGTCAACGAATGGATTCAAACCAAGATCATGGGGTGAACCTAATATCACCAATTAGGGAAGAAAAATCATCAGATCCGATTTGACAATTCACTGGATCAGAGTTAGTGCAGTGGGAATCCATATCTGTTAGTCATCGGGAATGGGGCCCAATAACCCAGTCCGATCGTTCACCACACACACACAGGTGTGACCGCAACTTGTAGAACCTCACCCCTTTCTAAATCTAATACTCTCTCTGTTATCTTTCCACAATTTCAGAATTCTCCCTCCCTCTCCAACCGCATGCTTTTATTGTCATATTATTCTTCTTTCTATCTCCTAAAATATGTTGGAATGATCTCATGAGTTCAAGAAACCCACTATTATTCTCAAGACAACTGAAGCAATAAATAAATAAATAATAAATAATAAGCTCAAGGCTATGCCACTACACATATATATAGCTTTTCAAAAACAAAGGAACAAACCAAATTACATGATTCTTTATACCCTTTTTGATCTTCTTGTTCTATTATTTCTAATTGGTTCATATTAAATAAATAGTATGAAAAGACTTGGTAAATATTCAATATTTTGATTTTTAAACAGTCACATGTGTTTGTATATCTTTCTTCATTGTGTGAATTTCTATAAAACATCCGTGTTCTTCCGCTCAAAGCTACTCCCTGTATTTGCACTTTGTGTCTAAGCTCCACAAGATGACTGCAATTTAGTGAGCCTTGTAGAACTTTAATAATTATGCTTACATTTGGACTGCCAGTAATATTTGTGCTTAACATGGTACTGAAGAAGCATGCAACGTTTAAACATGAACGATTTAACAGAACCAGTACTCGATACTGAATATACCAACTCTAAAATTGCTAACTATAACAAATAATAATAATAATAATAATAATAATAATAATAATAATAATAATAACAATAATAATTACAATTCTTGAGTTCATACCATGTCATCTCCCTCTCTGATGAACCCTTTATCTTCTAAAATCCGAGCAAGACCTCGCCACCATAGAAAATCGCTTGCTGAAAATTTTAGAAACTGGAAATTTCCACATGAAAAATCATCAGCAAGATCATGAAAATAGGAGTAATCAAAGACCAATAAGATAGAAACAGTAATATATAGATATATATTCTCCGGCAAGAGAACACAAATAAATTGAGTCCACCATTATTAGAAGCAATGCATTAGCATTGTAGCATGTCAATTATACCATCCACTAGCAATAAATAAATAAAAATAAATCCTTTTTCTTATATTTTGCTAATATCAAGTCCATTTCTTCCTCCAAATTGTTAGCTCGAGAATCACTATGCATACAGACAGCAATTATATTTATAAAGGAATCAAGGTTAATTAACATCAAGAGGCACCTCTGTTTCCAATGCAGGTTTGGGACTTTCCCCATTGAAACTAGAATGGGGGTAGTGTGGCCTGAACTGGCCAACCCACCAGTATTAGATAGCAAGTGATTTTGTTCTTAAACTCAATCAGCCTACATCCAACATTTATCTTTTCTTTTTGAGAGTAGCACTCGCTTTCAAATATGTTCAAGATTTTCTATTTCAAACTTCTGCAATGTTTTTTTTATCTTAATTTGAAAAGAACTGATTCAAATCAGAACAAGTTGAAGGGATGGGCCATAGTTGGACAGGGTCCTATCTGATACTAACTCATTCCATTTAGGCAACTCATTCCAATCCACATAACCATTTTACTCTATCTCAGGACTACAGTGCAATACTGAATAAAATCTTCATGGAGGCACGACTGAAACACTTTCTCCTCTAAATAACTCACTAGATGGAGTCACGGTGGAGATATTCTATCCTATAGAGACACAACCATCATTCCCCAAGGCTTGTGTATGAAAAGCAAAAAAAAAAATGTTTGATTGAGACATGCATAACTAGACAACCTTAGTGGAGGCATTATATAAATAGTTGCTCATCCAAAGATTTCACTTGATGGAGGCATGACTGAAATACTCCGTCCTCTAAAGACAAAATCATCATCCTCCAGGGGTAGTTTACAAATACACTCATACAACAACTTTAAATGTTGCACACGTTTTTTTTTTTTTTTTTTTTGGTGTGTGTGTGTGTGTAGGAGGAGGAGGAGGAGGAGGGGAAGGCAAGTATAAGTAGTAGTTTTTATCCAAGAGTTGTAGCCTAATGGTACTTCCTCACCTTGTAAAATGCCGGGGGTTCAAGTCCCCAAAGAGGCAAATTAAGTGTGTGAGTTTCAAATAGGAAAAGAAAAAGTTTTAAGTTTTAAAATCACCATAGACTATGAAGACATATCCTCGTCCAACAGAGATTTTAGTGAAGATGTTTGGAAAATAGAACTTCAATTTAAGAACTCCTCTCTCCTGTTCTTCTTAGACTCTTTTAGGAACTCAGAAATCAGAAGGTAAAAATGGATTCCTTTCGTTCTTGATCCATTCCATTTCTTTTTTTAGCATTCCTTTTCAAATTCCCTTTCCATTCTTTTTTTTTCAAATTCCCTTTCCATTCTTTTTCCGTTCCCCTTACTGTGTCTGAGACCAAATAAGATCTTAGGACTAGTTTTGATCCATAGATGGTGCATTCAATCTTTTCTGGAAAAAAAAATCAAATTTTGCATGTTCCCAGCCCGGATCCAATTGTTAGCCGAATCTAACAATACTTGTAGGCACCAAAATTTTGTACATGTAGAGAAAGAGGGCCTACATACGTAGTACAAATACATACACGAGAAACGATAACGACTGGACATGAATAAATTGAAACAACAAATCCAAACAAAAGTAAAACAAATAAAACTCTGAAGTGCACACATGCAAATATAAAATTATATATACACATATACACTATGTTACAAGTATTCAAGCAAATGTATTGGGTATGGGTATATGTTAAATGGTGGACCTCCCTAACTATCAAATGTTAGGACAAGAGAACTTGATTAGGCATGTGCCCAAGGGTTGGGTATGGGTACCAAATACGCCCTGCACATTTAATTATATTTTATTTATATTAAAGTGTAATGATGTTACTGGTATTCAAGAATATAGTAAATTAGAATTTAATAGGGTCAGTTTGGTACACTAATAAATGCGCGGGCTGTCAATAGTGAGAAGGCGCATTCAAATCTTGAAAGCAGTCATTTTGTGCAAATAATGCCAGAAGTCCAATCTACTCATTCTGACACCATTGATTAACGACCACACTGGGTAATTACTCTACTCAATAAGAATTTAACGTGGTGAGAGATACACAGAGAAAGTTTCAATATATCTTAGAAGTATAAATCTTTTTCTGCAATCAAAGTTTTAGCTCTTTCTTATTCCTGAATCACATGTACGTGTATTGAACACATCTTATATCCATAACCATATAGTGCCGTGTTGGTACTGGTACGTTGAGCGGAATTGGAGAATCTATGTGATACATATTATACTTCTTACTAAATATCTAGGTTCTTGTATTAGATATTGTAGAATTTTGAAATGCGACTCAAAAGATAGCATACGTGCTCTTATATATATATACACACACACACACATATATTACAACTATATTCTTTTCCGACACTATTAGTTCCATTTGCATGCTTAGCTTGTGTAGGCCAAAAGTTTCATGTGTTGTGGACTTTCTAAAATTATTAAATGTAATTCAAACTTATGGAGAAATTCAGGAATGAAAGAATACTTCTAAACTTATACAACACGTTATCTATATTTATTTTAAACCATCTACAACAATTCAGGGACATACCCAATCTAGCAAGAAGATTTAGGTGCATGCCTAATCTAACCATAACCCATGGAAGAGAGTGGAGCCAACCTGTGTTATGTATTGTTCAACATGAATATGCATCAATTTCCTCTTTGGAGTTGCGCATACATGAGGTGACTATTGAGTTTTTTTTAACTGTATGAACTTTTGTGTGAGTTAATTTCACTACATGAATGAATTTGTCTTTTTCAACAATAGATTTTATCATCCTCATCCTGTAAATATTTTTGTGCCCATAATTTTTCTACAACAGACGTGAATACAGAAGCCAATAAGATTTTGAAACTAAAGGTCAGTCAAAAAGCCCTCTGTCAAGTTGTTCACATAAATTTTGAAATTATCTCATTTTCTTTCATTTTCCATTAGCAGAGATTTTCAGCTCTGGGAAGGAGAAAGGGCTTTTCTGAGAATCTTAAAATATTGCCAACTGTCTACTAATTCCATATTAATCTCTGATGACAATAAAAATTAAATAAATAAAATAAAATAAACAAATAATCTAAACATATATGAGGCTCTGAGCTCTTGTTTTTTTTTTTTTTTTGTTTTTTTTGGATCAAAGGGTGGAATTGTAAATCATTAATGGAAATATTTTTTTTTGATAAGTGAATCATTAACGGAAATATTTGATTTTGTAGGTAGTTGAAAGTATAGAGTATACGGTTGTACGTTGGATATAGGGTCTTTTGTAATGCTGTGGATGCGCTAACCTCTTGAGCAAATCTTACTTGTCAAAAAAAAAAAGAGGAATGTATATAATAATCAAATCATTTTGTTTATCCTATTCTTCCCTCTTGCAATTTTTTCTTGTATATGATGTGCAAGTTCTTTTTTTCTTTTTTCCTGTAACTATATTATAATATTTCCATCCATGACTCAAGTATTTCATAATATTTTGATAGTCATAGTTTTGATATTGGATGCCACTTTACCCTCCTTAGGTAGTGATATATGAGGCCTCTTTTCCTGTTGATTTAGTCTCATTTTGTGCTCCTGAAGATCCCTAACCTTGCATCTATAATCCTGCTTTATGTCCTATTGGACAATTTCATTTCTTATGGCAAAAAGTCAATTTTGATATTTGAATCTACACATGTGCATATGCTTAGAGAAGAGAACATGCAGCAAATTGTTTTAACAAATCTTGGTATGAGAACTAAGGAGACAATCAAGTTGGAGTGCAATGATGAGATTCTGGGCATCTTTCACCGAGTTTGTTTTGATTAATTCTAGTTGATCAAAAAAACCTGGATAAGCAAGATTTTTAGTGACTTTTACTTCCACTTTATGGCATATCTGCAGGAATCGGAATCAAATTTGACATCATGATTTTTTCTAAAAATGCTAGTCAGACTGCTAGAAGCATTATTTGGAATGTTACTGATATCTTAGGAGGCAATTTGCAGGAGGTCCTGGAACTCTTGGGAAGCTGACGTGTTGCATTGCTGCTGTAATTGGTGATGCTGGTTGGTTGTTTGGAGCTCTGCTCCCTTTGTTTGGTGGAGACATTTTCCTTTTGCTGCTTTATTTGATTTGTTGTTTATTTCTGGAGTTTGGTGGAAATGGTTTTTACATTCTGTTCTTTGTGATGGTGGCTTTTGTTCTTTGGTTGTAAGTTTTCTTGGTTGTTAATAAAATGAGGCTTAGGAAAAAAGAAAAGAAAAAAAAAAAAGAAACTTGATAAATGCAAACAAATGCCTGCACACCCACACCTATATACACATAGTGGCTATACATACATAAACACCAACTGCCCTACATGCAGGCACACATGCATACACACATACATGTAGATAGATGACAGACTATAGACAGAGATACACAAATGAGAGAGAGTTGTTAATTAGATCCAAGGAATACCTGTTCCCTTATTTTGCTAACAAACATTCGAATATTTGGTTTCTCCATGAATCTCTCTCGTTTATTACCATTACGGGTTAAAATGTCATTTGATCCATCTGCAAAACTGCTTTGTGCCTGAAATTCAACAAGCACCTATGGTTTTAAATGATGCACCTAACATCCATTGCTTCTTTATTAGAAGCTGAAACTTCATTAGGACAACAAACAAATGGAATTAAAAGGAGGGAAGTGTTCTTTTGTAATGAATACATTCATGTCTAAATCACATTGGGATTTCTTAACAATCTATCAGAATCCTGCAAACTTCGATTAACTGCTTTCACAAGCTTGTTGACATTCTAGTTCTCTGCTCTTTTTTAAACTTTAAACCGTACAAACAATACATGAATGCTTAATGCTTAATGCTTCTGCTTCTTTATTTTTTTAAAAAAATAAATAATAATTAAATAAATAATAAGAAACTAACAGGATTAAACATACAATATTGCTTCCAAATTTTCCTGGCATTACAGTTTTTCGCCTTTACTTGTATGCAAAAATGGCTGACACTTTCACTTCACATTTTCCTCAAAACCATTGATCAAATATGAAGTATGATGAATTATACTGACCAACCTTGGGGTTCCTAGAAATGCAAACGACTTTCATGAACTAGTAAATTCACGACGACTCCCTTTCAGGAAAACATCACTACCACAAATCTCTCCTCCATTAGTTGCTCATCAAATTCAATAACAGAAAAAGCCTCAATCACCATATTTTGTATTTGAAATAATGCTTTACTTTTATTTTGGTTGGTAAAGAAACTGCTATGAAAATGGCTCAATCACCATATTTTGTATTTGAAATAATGCGGTACTTTTATTTTGGTTGGTAAAGAAACTGCTATGAACTTATTTTCTTTTGCTTCTGTTCAGCGACTGAAGCAAACAAGACAGGTTTTTCTTTTTTTCTTTTTCTGAAAAGCAGAGTAGAGGTTCATGATATTGACAATAAACTGAGAGGTCAAAGTAACTTCGCTAAGTTAGGTGAAAATCTGTAGTAGTAAGAAATCTCAGGAGATGTAAGAATAAGAAGTTCACTAAAAGAGTGATAAATAAATGTAAGTACAAAGATATAGCTCCAAAAGGAAAAGGTTATAATTGTCAGTATCAACTAGTTCACACCCAAGGAAAACAAATAATAGATGGCATTAGTCAGCCTTAATGCTAAATACATACAAACAACAATTAATTGCTAAATTGAAAAGGAAAAAAAATGACACATCTGATAATAAAATTAAGCGCAAAACAAGAAAAATAAATATAAAAAATGCAGACAAATGAGATGTCGATGTTACTCACATAATGAGTGGCCACAACTTGCATGAAAATATCTACCTCAGCCTTTAAATTCTGCTTTTCAGGAGGTCCATTCACACAGATATCACACCTGCATGTCATCCAAAAAGAAGAAATTGAGAAGGAATATAACAAGATGAAGAAGAAGCTTTAGTTGTAGATACTCGTAAAAATAACGTTCCAGAAATCATGAGTGGTCATGCATGTTAGAAACGACAGCTGTAGTCATGATAAATTATATGCTACATTGTACACAAAATATCAAAGTGTTCCACTAAAGCCTGCAAAAGTTGTGGTTTACTGAAAATGGTATTTTGGAAGAATTAGGAATTCTGTTGTTACGCCTATGGGACATATAGGACTTATCTGATAACAGACATGCTCGGATCTTTCATAAGATTTCCTAGACACGCAACAAAAAAGACAACTAGCAAGCAAAGAGATTGAATATCACATGAAGCCCAATGTTAGTCCTTTAATCAACAATTTCAAGCATTTTAAGTGGAACCCACTATTGCAAAGCGAAATACTTGAAATCATCAATACATACAGTTTTTCCCAAAAGAGTACACTCTTCATGGAAAGAAGCCTATCACAGAAGCTAATAAAGCACACCTGAAAGTAAAATAATAATGACATACAAGAGACACTTCTCATAGCTAAACTGCTCTCCAAAGTACTCCACAAGAATTTTGGCTCGACAACTTGAAGTAGCCATTCCATATCTGCAAAGAACCAAAGGAAATGTAAATTGACATTTGTGAGACATCGTTGTGAAGGATATGAGACTTTGCAAAAATAATTCTACTCAACCTGTAGCAATCAGATAACATCTTGTAAGCTTGTTTTGTCTGATCTTCACTTCTTTTACTTGGCAAAAGTGTCGGAGTTCTTGATATGTTTGCATATAATACTGCTTGAAAAAATAAATCAGATTTAAGAAATATGCAGCGCCTTGTCTATATTTTCAGAGTTGGCAATGTGCAACAAAATAAATAAAACATTTCCCGGAAAACAAAGCCTGAGGGAAGATTTCTGAGTTATAGGTTTTAAAGAAAGATATATTATGGGATATGTTGGCGGCTACTGCCAACAATATCAATTCATAGATGGTTGTGTCAGGGCCGGCTCAATATAATTTGAGGCCTTAGGCAAAAAACCTAAAATTGGCCTTTTAATATTTAATATATTAATATCAAATAATAGTTAATAATTTTTATCTAAAAATTCCGAACCCATTTTAATCTTTAATTTTTAATTTTTTATTCTTTTTGTAGCTTCCAGTGAAGTTATGGCAAACTACTTTTTTTTTTAGCAGCTTGAAAACAAAATATTAACTTCAAATCTTTTAGAGTGTTATGTTGAGGGGCACACAAAGTGAAAGTTTGAAACGAAACAATTATAGAAGAGTCCAAAAATACCAAGAAAGTGAGATAGAGAGGATTTTAGTTCATATGGAGAGACTATAATTTAATTCGGGGGGAAAAACGTGATGAGAGGTAAGAACACCAAAAAAAAAAGGGGGGGGGGGGGGGGGGGGGGGGGGGGGTTTAAATAGAAAAGGTAAGAAAGTGGAAAAAGACTAGGAGTAGATTAAAAGTTTTATCATTTTTCAATAGTTATTGTTTAAATAGGAATGAATATAGGTTAAATTATTTTATCGGGGCCACTATTAATACATGATAGGGCCTAACAATATAAGATGAATTAAATTTTTAGGGGCCCACTATTAATGCATACTATTGGCTGGGATCTTAGGCGACCGCCTGAGTCACCTAAGACTCCAGCCAGCCCTGGGTTGTTTTGCTTATCAAAATTGAAATATATTTAACATAAAATAGAAGTGCACAAGAAAGAAAAATTAAAATTGCACCCACCGCAATCTGCTAATTTCCCATCCCTTCCAGCTCGACCTGCTTCTTGGTAATATGCTTCCAAACTCTCCAATAAAATTAAATAGTATGAGAAGCTTCAACATCATAAAAATGAAAAGAAGTACCTAGAAATAGATGTTCTGGGTATATCAAGATGCAAAGTTAGATAAACGATGACGGCTGTAGCATAGTGGTATCTCCACTACCTTCTTAAGTGGAAGTTCTAGGGTTCAAGTCTCATTAGGACAAAAGTGGATGCATGAGTTACAAATAGGGGGAAAAAAGTTACATAAACAAGATAAATGATGGCAAACATGACAAACGTGATTCTTAACACTCTCAGAAAGTGTTTGTTGCAGAAGCCACAATCAACATCAAGGAAAAAAAATCAAAAACATTGCACAGTTTTTATGACAAAATAGCCATAAGTTGATTAAGATAACTAAGAAACTTTAAAACATAAGGCCAAGATGTCAAATCCAATATATACCTGAGGCCAGCCATAATGTATAATTCTTCGGACATTTAACTTGTCAATCCCCATACCAAAAGCAATTGTTGCAACAACAATCTGGAGGTTAGGAAAAGAATACTTAGAGTCATAATCCAAAATGGTCTTTAATATAGACATACTAACTTGTAAAATGTAAGTTAGAGAATTTAAAGCATGGAGAAATTGTCTTTCGTGCAACAGTGAAGAATGAAAAGTATGAACAAATTAGTTTCCATGAAACAATTTAAAATGGAATGTCACATCCTGCCATATCATCTCCTTGTCAGATTTGGCCTTATGCTCAAGTTATTTCCAGTTTATATATATGACTACCAAAAATCAACCAAACCTAACACCATACCAATCTGCAATTCTGATCACATACTTCCACAAATCGTACACTTTTTGCCCAAAACACTAAATTTCACAACCCAAAAAAAAATTATCCTAATTATTTCCTTAGTTTTTTTTTTGAAAAAGATTAGAAATCCAATCAAGTAGAGAGTTTCTGAGGAGAAGATAAAACAAAAAAGAAAATTATGTGAGATCAAAAGTTCAATGTATAGAGGGCAATCTTAACTCCACACTTTTTACATGATGAATTCCGAATAAGAAATATGCAATAATAACTGAAAGAGAACTGCTTTCTAGAAACAATATAGGTCATTAATCTACTGTTGGTATAATTAAATCACTTGTCAAACCTATTTCACCATAAACTTATCCCTACTTTTTTTATTAATGGTGCTAAGAAATGGACCCTTTGACCCCACCTGTTCTTTTTAGATGCCATGATCTACATAAACTTATCCCTACTTTTTTATTAATGGAGCTAAGAAACGGACCTTTTGACCCCACCTCTTCTTTTTAGATGTCATGCTAACACTTCTACTACTATGCTACAATGGATTTTGGCAACATGAAGTTTACCCCTATTGTACCACGTTAGAGAGAATGTAACATATCATATTCCCATTTTGAATTGCACAACAATTGTAACAACCCACTCCACCACATCGTATGATATTATCCGCTTTGGGCCCGAGCCCACACGGTTTTACTCTTGGGTTTTACCCCAAATGGACTCGTACCAATTGAAGTGTACAAATCCTAAATATATGGCATTTCCCCTTTCTACAGCCAAGCGATATGGGATTGTGCACCAATAACTCACCCAGTGTGGTAGCCTACCAGTGCCTCTTGCAACCGCTCACGGCACACACGCCCACAAGGTCGCCACAATCACCCCCCCATATCGCACAATCACCCCCCCATTAGAGAGAATGTAACATATCATATTCCCATTTTGAATTGCACAACAATTGTGACAATCCACTCCACCACATCGTATGATATTATCCGCTTTGGGCCCGAGCCCACACGGTTTTACTCTTGGGTTTTACCCCAAATGGACTCGTACCAATTGAAGTGTACAAATCCTACATATATGGCATTTCCCCTTTCTACAGCCAAGCGATATGGGATTGTGCACCAATAACTCACCCAGTATGGTAGCCTACCAGTGCCTCTTGCAACCGCCCACGGCACACCCGCCCACAAGGTCGCCATAATCACCCCCCCCCCCCTAGGGCCCAACGTCCTTGTTGGTCACACTTCTGGCTGGGTCAGGCTCTGATACCATTAGTAACGACCCACTCCACCACATTATATGATATAATCTACTTTGGACTCGAGCCCGCACAGTTTTTCTCTTGAGTTTTACCCCACACTCATACCTACTTAGAGTGTACAGATCCTACATATATAGCACTTTCCCTTTCCACACCCAGGCAATGTGGGATTGTGCACCTGTAACTCGCCCAGTGTGATAGCCTGTCAGTGCCTCTTGCACCCGCCCACAAGGTCGCCACAATAATCCCCATTCTAAGTAATCATGTGACAACCAGTGTTAAGTTTAAGCCACCCATTTCTCACCAAATCTTACATCTTAGAGATTTTTGTTCTGACTTCACAAAGGCCCAATTAGTGTGAGTCCAAAACTGGGGCTATTTGATACAGTTGATATATCTATAGACATAACCAATGGGCCAGTGGCCTAGCGGTATCAGCCTCTTACTTCCCAAAGGGAGGTCAGGGTTCAAGTCTCAGAAGAGACGTGTGTGTGTGAGTACCAACTAGGAAAAATATATATGTATACCTATAGACATAAATAATTGGTTATAGCCCGAAGGAGCAACCATTGTATATAATACTAGGCCTTTGCCCTCATTAACAAATGCACACTTCACCTTTTCTTTTTGGTAACGAGGAACTGTTGCAAGTTGCAACCAGGTGCTCTTTGTACTCATGGCTACAACGTAAATCCCAGATATCCACAATCACCCGCAAACTATGGATATCATTTCATCTACCGTTCTCTGTGTTAAACAAACCATTCTCTTTATCATGCTTTTTTGAACAAAAATTCTGTAAAACCATTTATTCATGGAACTTTATATTAAAGAGTGCTTATAACTCTCATTACTGATATGGGAACAAGGAAACAGTTGAAACAACTTGTGGAGTTGAAAATAACTAACATAGCTAATGATCAATTCCCCATAGGTTCACCTGTAGGAGTATCACATGCACTTTCTTTTCTTGTGTCTTGTTTCCTTTTGATGAATCTATGTACACTGCTTTTAATATTATGAGTACAAATGATAACAGAGTTCATGCATATCAATAGCACCTTAATCCACCCTCAAGGGTGTATTATTGATAGAACAATAGATGCAGCATAGTTTAGTAACTTTTAGACACTAACTAATGATTGAAGAAGACAATCTAGAACATGTCTCCTGGATCTATCCAGAAGTTTCATAGTCCATACCTGTAACGCATTTTCATGGAATTCCTTGTGCACCTGCCTCAGATGTGATTTTGGAAGCTGCAAAGAAAATAAATAAAACCATAAAATAGTCGCAATCAAACAGAAAAAAGGGACTTTCAATGAAGCAGTGTAGTAAAGATTATATCTTTGGGACTCTTACGCAACACTTTGACAATATTATTAGTGATAAAAACAACTAGCACGCAGAGGTTGAGAAAACATAAAACATTGATACTTTATTTTCTCGTGAATCCAACTTCCATATCTTTTGATGTTTCTGCACCCTAAAGAGCCATGCAACCAACCAATTCTCCAAAGTTAACAACGGATCCACATGATAGAAATCGCTTCCAATGTCATCAGATATGACTTATGAAGAATTATAGATTTTGTTAGTTATGAATGGTAGAAACTATAATAAGATTAAAAGGTTAAATTAAGAGAGTTAATTCTTGTATCAAACTAAAGCATCATATGCCCACCAAATTTATCAAATGTAATTTTAACAAATAAAAATAAAAAGAAAGAAATGAAAGAGAACTACCTTTGCATTATAAGCAGCTGCCTTTACACCAAACCGACAAAGAAACTTTGCTATGTTTAATGTTTCTTTTCTTGTAGGTACATATATAATTGTACATCCTTGTCCCAAAGGCACTTGCAGAAGTTTTAGTCTTTCTTCCGGTATGTTCAGTAAATCATTGTTCTCGGATGACCCACAAAAATTCCAGTCCTTGGCAGGTAATTGCCCACAAAATTCACCACAGGGAACTGCAGCAATGTGTATGATGCAATGGTTTCACATTAACAAGGAAAAGAAAAATAAATCAATAATATATAGGTAATACTAGAATTCACCCCGTTCGGTTGGGATTAAAGAAGAATAAACAATTAAATATAAAATATATATATATATATATATATATATATATATATATATATATATATATTCATTTTTCCTTGCTTGGTGATTTAAAGAAGAGAATATCTCTCAGGCCCATAAGACATATCACCACAAAAGTGAGGTGGTTTGGGGGATATCTAGAGAAGTGGAAATTTTAATCCAAGGTGTATATATATATATACCTATGTAGACACACAACAATCATCTATTGACCAGAATCTATTAAATTCATAAAGCAAGCATAACTATCAAACTTTTTTTTGCTTATCCCCATCTAAATTTTATGTGCAATACTACTTCCCTACGCATAAATAAAAAGGAGAATTTTTTTCAAAGCCTTCCCCTCCTTTTCTCTTCTCCTCTATTTACTTTCTCTCCTCTTTTTTTCAATTGAGGATTCAGATAATGCAATGATGATAAAATTCATAAAATGATGGTATGATTTGCATTTGTGATTTGCAATCAAATCCTAGCTTAAAGATGAAAGTATATGCATGACTGATGAACACAAGTTGTAACAGCAGAATAATATATTAGAGACCATGAAAGAATGGTACCATCCAAATCATCTACACCCTGGAAGAGGTCGCATTCATCTTCTAGATATTCCACAGACATTTCCTTCTCCTTTGAAGAAGTAGAACAACTTCCCTTTCTAAAACTTACTTCATCATCACTTCCAAAAGACGGATCATTTTCAATACTATCCCCATGATCTGCCTCATAAATGCTACCATACAGATTGCTAGTCGAATTATCAGAAGCATCTCCTTGATCTTGTGAGATCATATTCTGTTTCTTCTTATAAGACTTTTCCTTCCTGGTGTATACATCTATCAATTCACAAAAATCCTTCTCATAAGAAGATGGAGAAGATGTTCTACTATGCTTTACCTGCAATCAGAAAATGAATAGCAGAGATTATCATAGAGATAAATACAAATGCACCTTCACACAATAAAGCGATTCAGAAAATAACAAGCACTTGAATTTAAATTCGAGAATACCAACAAAGGATTCAGGAAAGATACATCAGGTGTTACTTTTAATTCTTTTTAATGCATAGAAACTTCAATTAACGAATGTGTGCACAAGTGCACAAAAACATGCACATGCATGCAAGCAAACAAAGAAAATTTAGCAAACAAATATATCCTAGAAACCATACTGAGGAAGAAAGAACTCACTGAAAACCGAAGATTTGGCCGGAAAAATGAAGTAAGCACAATCTTTGTTTCCTTTGACATGCACAATGACTTCAAAATGTCTCCTCGAACATTAACAGTAGCAGTAGCAGTCAGTGCCATCAATGGTATGTCAAATTTTAAGAATTTCAAATTGTCAGCTCTGAAGCTCTCCCTCAATACAGACATTCGCCTAAAATGTGCAAGAAAATACTAGTCAATGAATCATGATAACTTTACTTATGAAATCCAAAATCTTGGGGGGGAGGGGGGGGAGGTTCTGTTTTTGAGTGTGGCACGCGCGCGAGAGAGAGAGAGAGAGAGAGAGAGAGAGAGAGAGAGAGATCACAAGAATCTTGCCAGAATAATATATATACAAATTCTGTCAGGGGAACAATGTGCAGAAGTTTGAACTGCAGAATAATGTGCCAGAATAATATATATAGTTCAGAAGTGAAATCAATCAGTGGTACAGTTGTAAAAATATAATAGATGAAAATAAACTAAAACAGTAAGTTGCATTGAACTAATGATTCTCTGGTTGTGTGTATTAAGTATTTAAGCTGCACATTTTCTAAGTTGGATCATTATGAGCAAGTTGGAGCAACACCAACTAAACTAACTATGCGCCATCTTCAGATTCTTGTCTATCTTAACTAACTATGCAACTGTATGCATGTTATACAAAGATCTAATCACAGTTATACCAATGCTAGCAATCTGGATGAGGAAAATCAGCTGATGTATTTAAGAGGAGGGAGGAAGAACAACCAAGTGGATTAGAATGGAGATATAAACCTGTAGTCAGGTCGGAAATCATGACCCCACTTTGAAACGCAATGAACTTCATCAATTGCAAATAGTGCAATTCCGCGGCTTTCTGCAAGGCTCTGAAGTGGTTTTATCAGTCTGCAAGAAGAAATGACTTAAATTGAGCATATGTTTGTGTGTGTATAAACTTCACAGGCACTCTCTCTAAAGCACTTGTCGAATGATAATGATAAATCTCTTACCTTAAAATTGTCTCTGGGCAGACATAAATAATTCCATACATGCCTCTCATTGCTTTCTGCTCAACACTACTGTCAGTTTGTCCAGATCCAAGAAAGCAGGCTGACACCCCATGTTTTGCCAGCTTTAAGCATTGATCATGCATCAAACTTATCAAGGGTGAAACCACAACCACAACCTTCCCCGTTAGCAATGCTGGAATCTGAAAACACAAAGATTTCCCTACAAAAGGTAATTTTTTATAAGACCATTACCCACAAGTGCACTTATATGAATGATAGAATACATAGAAATAAGCTCAGAATGCATTACCAGACCCTGTTGCGGCAAGAACAAGACAGTCCTGGTGAGCTAACCAAGCAGCCAGGGCTTCCTTTTGGAAACTCTTCAGAGATGAATATCCAAAATGCTTGTGCAACAGACCATTGACTTTCTGCTCCCAGTCTGGTCCAATGTCCAATTCTTTATTCCAGTAAGATGGAAGCATGGGCATTTGTGCAGTGGGTTTTCGATTAGAATCCAAAACAGGAAGAGTTTCATTTGGTCCTTCCACAAACTTGGGTGAGACCTCTGATCCAGAGACCAATACATCGGGTTTGACACTGGTCCTGCTTCGTTTTGGTCTAGCTGCTGGTTTGAGATGTTCCATTATGCTCAATTGTCGCAAAGAACCTGGTGATGACATGGTTTTTCTGCCCAGTGCTTTCTTGTTGCTAGTTGAACATTTAAAACTACTTGATGCGTGCTTACTTTTCCTGTGGGAACCATTTAAAATAAACTCAACTGCATCATTCAACTTTGGACCCACGGCTTCTATCGCTTCGGTAACATCAGAAAACTCAAATCCCATTCCAATCAACTCTGCAATGACTTCATCAGAAGACATGTCGTTGCCGTCCGTGTTCTGAGAACTGTTGGAAAAATAATATTCATGAATCTATTAGTTGTAGCTACAACAGAAAGCACAGTTAACAGGGGTTTCAACTTGAGACTCAGCCAGCACACTTAAACTATTGACACGGTCTCTGCTAATAAGAAAGTTAAATTTCAAACTAATATTTTACATTATCTTGGGAAGCAGAAAATGGTAACTTTAGAGGCTCAATGTATTGTGATTGGGTGTTGTTGGACTCTGCATGCATGTTGGGTTCTGTTTTTGCAGTTGGAGGTATCAAGGACCAGTTGCACTAGGGTCACCAACAATCAATTGAAGAAACGACACAATCTGAGAAAGCAAGATTACTCATATGTTTGACAGCTCGCGGCGCCGTGGAAGGTGAACAACCAGTCTCTCTCTCCCCTTCAGTCACTGATACTCTCAAAGAATATAAAAGATCAATCGCTTTTAAGGCTCGGATAGATCGCACTTGTATAGAATCGATTTTCTAACGCGTTTCTTATTCTAAATAGGAGTTCTGTTGCTACAAAAAGACTTGTAGAGTAGTCTGTTGTCAAAACAATGTGATTGGGTACGAAGTTGAGGGAGTCATTGTAAGAGTTTGAGAGTAAGGTTTAAATGAGCTAAATGCTCTTTTGAACCTTCTTTGATTTCATAATTAGTGGATTTTGATCCCCTCCCTCCATGAATCTGGCATCTGTGGAACCACATTAAATATGTGTTCTCTCACTTGTTTGCAAATCATCTTTACTTTAATTGCAAAATTGTGAAGGTTGTGTGTATGGTGCACATATATAAAACGAACCAGTGGTATCAAAGTCATGTTGTTGGTTTTAGATAAGTAATCGCAAAGGGCAATTACAAAATACAAGGTTAATCAACTCACACACTAAAACTACAAGGAAGAACAAAGATACCTGAGAAGATAAGTGAACAAAATTAGTAGCAATTGGACAAGAAAGCCGCCAATGCCATTCAACTCAATCTTTAAAATGAGATCACATATAACATGATCAGCAGAGATACCGCATTAGAGATTTGAAAGAAACCAAAAAGCTTGTACATATTGAAGTCCTTGACAAACAAGCTTTATGAAGCATGGCCTTCATATGGAAAAGAATATGATTTCCTTGAAGCATCTCAACGTGTGTAATGACCGAAACAGTTAGTTGCTGACTTTTAAATCAAAAATAGACACAAAACGAAACCTTACTTCCATAGACTTCATTGTTCCAATCCTATGGCAACTTAGTGGCATTTTGTTATTCATCAAGGACAACCACATGGGCTGACCCCATTGGCCCATTTGCATGGGACAAAGGCAAGGAGGATGATGATGATGATGATTAAGGACAATCACATGTTGACTATGGTCATTGCAGCCATCCTGACAATTAGAAGCGAACCTATTGGGATAAAGTCACAAGATGGCGGATTATTGGAAAAGTGAAACCGAATCGAGGTATATATACAAGCAGAATAACAAGATAACCAATTGTATGAAATCACAGTGAAGTGCTGCCCCTGCAACAAGGAAGGTTATATCAAAAAGATTGTAGAACTCCAAGAGAGGATTGGAGGAAGAGGAAAACAAGGAAGATCCACAAACTCAGCGAGTGATGGTTGTCGTCTGCTGAGAACACAAAATGTGAAGAAGAACTACTTGGAGTCTCCTCATGTACAAGAAGTCGCAGATTCTTGAATTCTGGATATGAGTTGCTCCTATCAGATATGTCTAAATTAATATTGGGTTTGATATGTAGCAAACATGCAACAGTGGAGCTATTCTAATCGAAAAATATGCCGCCTGTAAGGCCACTAGAACATGCACAATTAAGATTGGGATGTTTGAAAGAGTGATAAGAACTATAGGAGAAGTCATATATGTTCCTGACTTGCAGGAAAAAAAAATTTTGATTATGTTGGTCATGCTTAACACTCTCTCAGTTGTTACCAACAAAAAAATATACATATATAAAAAAGCCTATATTGGCATAAAAGACTAGAAGGTTGGGGATCTATACAAGCCGGACGAAATTGAGTAACTGTGACTACCGAAGCAAAATATAGCAGAGATTTGATATATCTATATAAACAAGAGAGAGAGAGAGTCAAGGAAAATAGGGTTTCATAAGATCCCATGAGCCTATCAGCTCAAATGCTAGATCATTCAATGAATCACATTGCCCTAAATTTGGCAGCATATATAAAACTGAGGAAATTGTGAGCAAATAAAAATTACAACCAGTATGCTTTATCTGTTTCGTTCCAGGTAAAAGCTTGGCTATGATCACTGATCAGAATGTATTTATTTTGCTACTCGGAGAGAAAAATCAAATCATACTGTTGAAAGCAAAAATGAATACTTGCAAACTGCCAAAAACAAACAATTACATAAATCAAAGCGGAAAAGGGTTGCGAGTGCATTGAAAAGATCAGTATTATTCAATAAATCAAAATTAGCGAGCAGGAAAAAAATATATATATACTGTAATTACAATCAACAGGTTGATATGTTCAGAGAAGGTTGAATGAGAAAGTGATTGGGGATAATGGGATAAGTTTACCTGTGGCGAATGTTCAGCTGAAAGAGAGGGAATTGGAAACCCTAGGACGAAGAGGACGCTGCGTCATTGTCTCTGAAATCTTCGGTGAACGCGCCAAACTGGAATTAGGGGAGGGCTTTCAGGAGAAGCAGAAGACGACGTCGTAGGAGTATGGTCGTCAGTGTAGTATGATCTGCCGGGAAACAGGACGGCGCCGTTTTAAACTATTATGCTTTTCTCTGCTATCGCTGCAATGTAAAAGTAGCATGAGTGAATTAAAAGATCCATCATTCATTTTCTTAATAAAAAATGGTAAATTATAATTTGGTATCATTTCTTAATATAAAATGGGTAAATCGTAATTTGGTCCAATAGATTGAACTACAACCCAATTACCCATGTTTCATACCCACAAATAAGAGCAAGTCTATCAAAAGAAAATTTAATGTTTAAAGTGAGTTTTTTTTTTTCATAATTCACCCTTGGACACATGCAATTATTCATATTTCATATTAACAACTATTCAGAAACAAAAAAAAAAATTCAATGGGAGTGACTCTAAAAATTTTTGAATTTTAAGTAAGTCTATACCCTCATAGTTGTTTTGCTCTAATTTTTTTCATTTTTGTGCCAACAAATATTACTAAAGTTCACTACATTCATGTAAAATCTTTAAATTTTTAAATGAATGATATTAACTAAACTAAAAAATCAAGTGCACTCAACAATTTGATGCACACGTGAGGTAGAAATTACCCCACATGCATTGAGGTTCGTTCTTTGCCCAGTAAGTTTGTTATGTCTAAAAATGAGTGTCTTTACTTTTTAAAATTATAAAATTCTTAAGAACCATGCTATACATTAACTTTATACGAGACTGTGCAAACTCAGTTGTTTAATGCAAATTCACAACGAAATTCACTAATACCCACTAGACTAAAAAAAATTGATGCACTAAACAATTCAATGCACATAGCAATGAGGTGCACTATTTGCCTGTGAGGTGCACTGTCTCAAAAAAAAAGTGTCTCCATTCTTTTAAATTATAAATTCTTTAATCGTGACAACCAAAACTGTGCAAACTCATTCACTAGATTTTGTGAGTACCACGTAAATATAATTGATGACGATATAGTTAATATCATGCATTCGCAACTGCAGTTAGATTTTGTGAGTTCCACATAGATATATTTGATTATTGTGTCCACTTAAATATAGTTGATACAACTGCACTTAGTATTTCCCATTTTTTAATAAAAATACATATTCTTGGTGGAATAATCCCCTTAATATTAAAAATTTGTAAACAACCGAATTATGAATTTTAACTTCTTTCTTTTTTTCTTCCTCTGCATCTTGCATTGTCACTAAAGATTATAAAATAATATGTTATCATTCTCTTTTTAATCTTTATAATTAAAGCCAAGGAAAAAAAAAAAGTGGGATTAGATCCAAACTTCCAAAAAATAGAAGAAGAAGAAGAAGAAGAAAGAGATGAAAGAAGAAAAAAAATTTACTCCGTAATAAAAATGAATGACTTATATAATTTAAAAGAGTATGATAAAGTACATTTGTTTAGAGAAAAATAAATCTAAAATTATGGTGAACTTTGAAAATAGTGAAATTTAAAACTTACCTTGTGTTGTGTTTGGAAGTACTGAATCTTAAATTTAGAATTAGAAAAAATTCAGTTTAAAGTTTGAACTAAAAAATTTTTCTAATTCCAAATCAAAAGCATCAATTCAGCATTTATATACTCATTGGTAAATTTTGACATTTTATTATTATTATTATTTAGGGTAAAGTGCAAAAAAATAAAAATGGACTATGTTCCAATTTGCAAATAACCCCTTTGAAGTATATTTTGCGCATAATACTCCCTGAATTATCACATTTTGTTACAAATTGCCCCAATATCTAAATTATATTTCATTAAATAACCATAATACCTTTTTTTTTTTTTATTGAATTACACTTAATATATTTTTTATTATTGAAATAAATTATGAAAAATTTCATACTGATCTCGTGAAATATTCTCCATTAAATTTGCACAAATTTAATTTTAAATTTTGAAATTAATTATTTAAATAAAAATCTTAAGTAAAAATTTTAAAAACAATTTAATTAATTTCTTAATTTTTCATGAACATATTGCGTGAAAAAAATGTATTTTTTATTTAAGTAATTTATTAATATTTCATCAATATATTGTATGAAAAATGGTATTTTTCTATGTTAAAAAAATTTAAATTGAGTATAATAAGTTTTATTATAAATAATAAAATCTTAATAATAAGTTAATATTTTAGAAAATAGTTGTAAGAGATGAGTTTATAAGAGATTCTAGAGTTTTTGTTTGTTTGTTTGAATGCAAACGTTTGAGTTGGGGAAATGAGTATTTATAGCGCAACATGTTTTGCATGTATGGAGTTAGATGAGTTATGTGAAATTAATTAACGTTGGTGGATCTAACACACTAGCAATTCGTGGTATTCCATTTTAACAAAATCTGTATATTTCATATTCCACCAACGTGTTTGTTTTGTGCAATGGGTGATCTTCGAACAATGTAAGTAGACATGTGTCAATGACTAATGTATGGACTATTTTCGGACCAATGATTATTCGCATGCGAGTTTATTATATTCTAAATTTTGGATATGTTGTATGTTTTTAATTCAAGTTCATAAAAAAATAAAATATAATTTTGTTTAAATTATAAATTGCATCTTAAGATAATATTGATCCAAAAAATTAAGAAATTGTAAGATGTACGCAGTTTTATCAATATTGATAAAAAAACATGTGCAATTCACGTGATTTTACTTCATAAATTTGATGTGATGGTGATCAGAATTGTAAATTTAGATAAAAATAATAATTTTAAATCAATATTTTAGATTATCCAAACTTGAAAACAATAAAAGAGAAATTAATACAATATTTAAAAAAAAAATAAATCAGAATCAATCTTCAAGCCCTTTGTCTTTATTCTTAAAATTGAACTTAAAATTGAATTCTTACTCCACAATTTTAATTCAAAACTTATATCGAATAAAATTATCTTTACCTAAGTGATAATAAATTTTCAACATTTGTGTAAAATTTTGAATTTTTCTTTAGTTAAGTGTAATATATCTTATATTAGTATCAAGTTTCAAGCATCTTTTTGTCCCAATTACTTGTGAGGATTCAAATACTTATTTTCAATAATAGATTATTTGTTGAAAGAAAGTAAATATCCTTTTGTTGTATTCATTACGCTTCTTATACATTAGATGAAATAACACAACAAAGTAAGAATTACATTTCAAGGATGAAGAAATTAAAAAATAATACATACCAAATAAACGATTTCATCAATATGAATTATTCCCCGTTTCTCATCTAAAACTATAACGTGTGATCTTATTCTTCCACAAAGAAATAATATGGTATTATTCATAAATAAATAGAGAATTACAAAATTATAATGCATGAATTTGACAGAGCAAAAATGACAAAAGATTAACGGAATTACAAAATATAGAATCAACAAAACAAGCGGAAATAAGCAACCCTTAAAGGCAACATAAAAATTAAACAAAACAACTTGCGCATCCAGGGAATCGAACCCTGGTCAGTACCGTGGGAGGGTACTATGATACCACTACACCAGATGCGCATTATGGCTTTTGATGAGCTTGCCTTATATCTTCGTAGTAAAAGTTGACCAAATGGTAAATAGAATTCCATTCCAAATTAGATAAAAATAAAACAAATAATAATTCCAAATTATTTTAACTCAGATTATTTGATCTTCCTTATATTCTATCTCAATTGATTTATTCTCATTTTATCTTAACTTGCTGCTATTTTAGTTTTATATAAAAATAATTATATATAGATAAAAAGATGTAGGAAAAAAAATGTAAAAGATAAAATGGGACAGAAAAAATATAATTATAAGTCGTGAAAATGTCTTTATAATTTAATTCTTCCATCAACCACTCTTACAAAAGCAAAAGTTGTAAATGATGCTATTTTGACCGACAATGTATTAATATAAAAAATTATAATTATCTACTCTCTGATTTTGTATTTTATTTTTCTCCTTTACATTTTTTATTCATTGTAATTATTCCATTATTATCATTTTTTATTTATTTATTTTTTTGTTTGTTTTTTTTTTTTTTTAGTTGGGAAACTCACACACACTGCCTCCACTGAGATTTGAACACCTGACCTACCTTTGAGAGATAAGAGCCTTCTACCTTCAATTTCTCTCAAATTTTGAACATGTATTTACACCTTCAAACTTTATTGTAAATTTGTAGAGTAAACCACTAAGCTATCTTAATGAGATTTACATTTAATAAAAGACAAAAGAATGCGGGAAAAAATAAAAGAAAAAAGAGAGCATGATCTTTTGATTCTAAAAAAATGTGGAGAAAGAAGAAAGGAAAAAAAAAAGAAGATTATTAGATAGGAAAAAAAAAAGAAGATTATTAGATAGTATATTATAGTTTTTTTTTTAGTTTAGATGAAAAATAATACGATAATATGAAATACTATATATTATACAATTAGAGATAGTATATTGTATACATACACCATATTAATCAAATTATATTATGGTAGATTATTGATTGATTAGTCATAAGACTGTAGTCCAATTGTACTTCATATTATTATATAGTATTCATTATGGGTAAGTTTACTCTAACAAATTATCAAATTAAATTGTTAATGAATTAGAAAATCATCCAATTTAAAATATTTCAACTATTTGCAAATAATTAAACAGTTCAACTACTCAAGCAATTAACAAAATATTAAGGAGTAGCGTGCAAAATCAAGTATTGAATAACTATCACATCTCATCTCTTATCATATTAAACATATTTTTTTGATTTATGTGATCATTTCAAATTATAATATCTTACTAATAAATGAACATCACAAAAGATTTTTATTTTATTTTAAGTATATAAAACCAACGGCAACAATTTATTTCATATGATTTTCAATGGCGTTCACAAACTCTTCAGAAACATAAATGATCCTTTGGGACTGTGAAAATATGATAATAGAGGAAACCATCATGAAGTTTTATTTAGGATTTGGGTGATTAAAATTTAAAACATGGGGAACTTAATAAATAGAAAAGAATTTAAAATAGTATATTTTTTAATTTTTTTGTTTCTGTAATTATATAATTCAATTATTATAAGTTTTTATTTTAATATTTTTAAAAAGTGTGTCAAAGTTGGCGTGCCTCACAATAAATAATTAAATATTAAATTATTTGATTTTCCCCATCAGTTAGGAACCAAACTTCATGATATTATTTTTTTAATTATATAATTACTAATATATATGCCTATAATTACATATATATATATATATATATATATATATATATATGAAGTCTTGATAGTCAAGTGGTTAGTGCTTTATGTGAATGTTGGGAATACCATGCTTTGACTTTTTACACTTATTAATCTAATTTCTAACCTTACTTGCTCATATTATTTCTATTATAATTTTTAAAAATAGTTAAAAGAACCGGATTGTGTGCATGCTTATTTTATTTTACATAAATAACTTATAACAATAAAAATATAATATAAATATATATGAAATTTATAATCTTTATTTAAATTTCACCCAAAATAAATCGGGTTTTAAAAGATATGCAAACAATAGTACAGCACAACAACAATTGTACTGGCGAAGCCTTGAAGACGAGAGAGTAAAAACTCACAGGTTTTGTTAGGGTTTTGTGTTCGTTCTCAACAGCTTCTGACATTTAAAACTACACAGAGCAAAGCGAAACGAAATTACGACAGACACATCTACTCATGAGACATTTACTGGTATGCATCCCCTCCTCGTGGAAGAAAATTTTATTTTCCCTCTAATTTTCTGTCTGATTCCCGGGAAAGCATAGGAAAAAGAAAAGAAAACATCTAACAACTGCTACTCCTATCCTAACCCGTCATAAAATTCCAAATCATCATTTGTTCTTATAAATTCATTTGCAGTCAAATTAATATCCCTATTTCGTTCTTCATATTTAATCAAAATTTTACCTTCTTTAGATTTTGATTCAATTATATGTTACATTTGCAGAGAACGGTTCCAGTATTCAAGAAAAACTCTCTAATACGTTTAATAGCATTGGCTACTGCTGGTTCGGGTCTGCTGTATTCTAACATTGGCGTAGATTCAAGTGAGCACTTAATTTTACTCAGCAGCTATTTCTGAGCGATCTGTTTTGTTGCTTTGATATCCAACAATAGGAAAACTTAATTCAAACACATTTTAATTAATTAATTTATTATTCTAAATTCAGGAACATCGGTTTCAATTCATCCGTCATTTCGGGATTCATTATTGTGGCAATGGAGAACTATGCAAGAGATGCTTCCCCGTCCTTCATTTTTATCCTTGGACCCTTCATCACATGGTTTGCCATTTGCTTAGACTTTTACTTATTTTATTTTTCAATGTTTTGTGCTCATCTTCAAATTTTTAGTTGTTTTATTCAATCCATGTTGTGTAATTGTAGGAACTCTTCCGTTATTTTTTTCTAGAGTTGGCTCGGTCCCATCAGCGGATATAAAGAAGGAAGTTTCTGGGGAGTTTGGAGCTGGACCGAAACCTTGTTGTGGATGTTTGGGTAGAGATACCATTGCTAATGCCGCTGCAAGGATTGGTCCAGCTGTTGTCAATCTATCTGTTCCACAGGGTATGCATTCGGGTTTTAATAATGTGCAGTCTGAGATAATCTGCTTAGAAATTGATTGGAAAGACTGTTTATAAACCACGCATTTGTAGGTTTTCGTGGGATGACTGTAGGAAAGAGTATAGGCTCTGGAACTATCATAGATGCAGATGGTACCATCTTGACTTGTGCTCATGTGGTGGTTGATTTTCAAGGATTGAGTTCTTCATCCAAAGGGAAGGTCAGTGGTCATATTTTTTATTGCTTGTGATCTTAAGATTAAATGTTTTAGATCATTTTGAAATTTGTTTCCAAATATTATGCAAAAGCACTTCTAGCATCGGCGTCCTCAAGGACCTCAACACTGTTCCCCAATATTTATATTCTAGATTGAGTAACACATCTATAAGTGTCAGATTTATATTGTGCTTGCAAAATTTGGAATTTTAAACCATACGTTTGCACATACACATATAATATGTGGAACTCAATCATGCAATATTTGGTGGTGCTCTGCACTGTATAGTTGGTTAGATTATGGTTTGTCTCAATTTTTTATATTTAACCGCATGTATTAAATGAGTGTTTTAAGTTTGTATTTATCCCCTTTTGAACTTTAATGTAATGAAAAGTTTATACATATGTTTTTTCCCCTACAAAGAAAAGGCGAGAAAAGCAGAAAATGTTAGTGTTACAACATGATGCTTGTACATGTATCTACTTGAAGTCACTTCCACCAAATTGAAGAATTCCATCAAAAGAGTTTTCAGTTTAGAGCTTTACATCTTCACTCAACAATATTCCCAAGAAATTCATAAAATAGTTCGTTGGTAATTTATTTGATAAAATCCCTTAAATTTCCTTCTCATTTGAAAATGCACACGAACAGTCATGGGCATGTTGGGCTAGTCAAATTTACTTTGTTTTGACTTGAAACAAAAGCAACGTTTCTACTTTAGAGTGTGTTCAATACTATTTGGATGCATGTTTGGTAATGTTATATTTGTTGCTTCACTATAGTACATTGTCCGAAGCAAAAAACATGAAGCAGAAGCGGTTGCTAAATTGGGCCGACACCAATGTGCTACAATGGTTTTGCCTATAAGATACCCTTTTATTGTTTTAGATACATGTATAAACTTGAATGTGTATATGCAAAACTATATGAAATTAAAATGATTTATTGCTGCAGGTTGATGTTACTTTGCAAGATGGTCGGACATTTGAGGGTACAGTGGTGAATGCTGATTTACATTCTGATATTGCTCTTGTAAGGATAAAATCCAAAACTCCCCTTCCAACAGCAAAACTTGGCTCCTCTAGTAAGCTTCGTCCTGGGGATTGGGTGGTAGCTGTGGGCTGTCCCCTTTCCCTTCAAAATACAATTACAGCCGGTATTGTAAGGTATTTTTCGTAAATTAATGTGACAAAATTTGGTTTTTCTGCCAAGTGTCCGAGGAACTTGTATTTGGAGGAAATATAGTTAGTGCTTATGTAGCTTAAGTGGGACTAAACGAACACATTAAAGCACAATTTTGGGAACCTATGGATTAATTAGCTAAAGGGATATCCGAAGGAGAAAAGTATACTTCAGAGGAAACTTTAATGGTCATTTAGGAAAAGATTGTGGAGATGATGGACATGGACTTGGAGATAGAAAGGATGATAGGAGGCTATATTAGATTTCGCAGTGGCATATAATCTTCTAATTGGGAATACCTTTTTTTTTTTACAAAAAAATAAAATAAATAAATAAATATGAACATTAATCATTTTAAAAGTGGATCAAATATGAGTCAAACTTGTTTCTTTCTAACTAGAAAGGTCAATCAATTAACAAGTAAAGATTTTAAAGTTAGGAGAGAGTTTAACATTACAACAGAGGCTAATAATTTCAGATGTATATATAAAAGGACAATCTAAAAGGAGAAATAGAATCTTAAACCCAAGAACTAGGAGGTGGAATTCAAGAGGGGAGAAAGTAAAATTATTTAAGAATAGGATGTTAAAAAAAGCAACATGGATTGTAGAAGATGAAACTGATTTAATGTGGAATAGGATGTCTTAAAAGAGCATCAAAAGATGTCATAGGAGAATTAGAAGTAACGTAACAATTATCTAACAAAACTTGGTGGTGGAATGTACAACCCTATAATATCGTAAAAACAAAATTGGATTCCTATAAAGGTTTGTTAAAACTAGAAATAAAAAAACCTTTGAAAAATACAATAATGTCAATAACAAAGTTAAAACAGAGTATATGATGATCTTTATTCTAAATTAGGCGCAGAAGATGTGGAGCAGAGTATATATAAACTTGCTAAACTAAGGGAGAGGAAAACTAGAAAAGTTTAGCCATATCAAATGCATCAAGAGTGAAGACTTAAGGGATTTAGTAGATGATGAAATTAAAGAAAGATGGAAATATTATATTGAGAAATTATCAAATGAAAATCATCTTGGAAATTTGGCTTAGAAGAGTATAGTAACCTTAAGGATAACATATTTTTCTGTAGGGTCAAGGAGTAAATGCATTAAGGATGATTATATCAGGAAGCACTCTAGGGCTAGATTGCATCCCTATTGAGCTTTGGAAGCGAGGATGAATTGTCTTAACTACTAAAACTGTTTAATAAAATAATAACAACTAAGAGAATGCCTGATGAGTGGCGTAAAAGTATTTTAATACTATATATAAAATATAAAAGGGACATACAAAGTTGTAATAATTGTTGTGGTATTATATTAATGAGTTATATCATGGAACTTTGGGAGAGAGTGAAGCCTAATTTGGATTCATGCCAAGGAGGTCAATAATGTAGACTATTTACTTATTGAGGAGACTTCTGGAAAGATACAAATAGAAGAAGATATTTCTTCTCATATGATTTTTATTGATTTAGAGAAGGCCTATGATAAGATACCTAGACATCTAATATGAAGGATTTTAGAAATAAAAGAGTCACAAAATGTTATACTTACACAACAAAGAACATGTCTGATGAATACATGACCATAGATTGAACGACGATGGTGGAAACAAGTGAATTCAATTAATCTAGGCTTACATCAAGACTCAAGATTAAGCCCATACCTTTTTTTCCTTAGTTATAGATGTGAGCTAACAAGACACATTTGGAATGAGATTCTTTGATGTTTGTTATTTGCTGATGATATTGTTTTTAGATGAAACTACAGGATTCGGTGGTAATTGGATGTTTGAAGAAAAAAATTAGAATTTAAAGAGTTTAAGACAATAATAATAAAACTAAATATAAGGAGTGTGGCTTTAGTAAATCTAAAAAATACATATACAGAGATTTTTTGAAGATTGAGGATAAAAGTGAACCTTTTCATTATTGGTAAATTATACTTACCTCCCCTCTAGTTAGGGCTTATTACACTTACATCCCCTGTGTTTTAGATTATTACAGTTATCTCCCTTCTAGTTACATTTATGTAACAAAATGATCCTTGCTGTCAGTTTCACTAATGGTTAGAGATGGTCAACGCTGACGTGGCAAGTTTTTTTGCTTCACATGACAAATATGCACTTCAAATTGAGAGTATAATTGTCTTCTCACAACAAACATTGGTCAAAAATGTATTCACAGCGAAAATAACTTGTCACATCAGTGTTGACCATCTCTGTCCATCAATAATACTAACGGGAGGGGTTGTTTTGTTTACACACATGTAACTAGAAGTCTAGATGGGAGGTAACTGCAATAATCCAAAACACAGGGGATGTAAGTGTAATAAACCATAACTAGAGGGAAGGTAAGTGTAATTTACCCTTTCAATATATGCCCAATTATCCATGGTAAAAGAGAAATTAAAGATGACAATAATGATAGAATCAGGACATGACGAGTTAATGAAGGAGTTCATCTAATATATTGTGTGATCAGCGTATCCCGTTAAGATTGAAAGTAAAACTTCAAAACAACTATTAGACCAGTCATTCTTTATTTGGTAGAAATTGTAGAATGTTGGACAATCAAGAAACAACATATGCATAAAATGAGTGACAAATGCAAGTGTTGAGATAGATGTGTGGCAGGACAAGAAATGATAGAATTAGAAATGAACATATTCGTGATATGATTGAAGTAGCACCGTTGGAGATAAAATGAGAGAAAATTGTTTAAGATGGGTTGGGCCTGTGCAAAGAATACCATTAAGTGTATGGGTCTAGAAGAGTGACATGGTCCACATTGAGGGTAATGCTAGGGGAAAGGGAAGACTAAAATTAACATGGGTTGAGCTATTAAGGAAGGATATGATAACATGTAGTTTGACTAAGGCTATGGCCTTAGAGCGGAATGGAAAGATAAAATTCACGTAGCAGATCCAAGTAGTTTGGAAAAAGGTTTTGTTGTTCTTATGTACCAACTGTCTGAATGGTTAAATATATTTTCTTGCTCTTTGTGAGATATTCTAATGTCAACCGAGTTGTAAACATAATCAATCATTTATTGCATGTTTAATTAAATATATAATTGTTATTAACTTATTGTTTATTTTAATGTGTTACTTGATCATTGTAGAAATATAATAGAGTACATCTTACGTATTGATAGATAAAGTAGACCATTACAGTTAGTGATGCCCTTTTTCTTTCTGGCCTTTTCTCTTTGCATCTAGTTGTGTTGATCGTAAAAGCAGCGATTTGGGTCTTGGAGGGATGAGGAGAGAATACTTACAAACAGATTGTGCAATCAATGCGGTAATGTAAATTATACTCTCTCCTAGATTTGTTCTCACATGTTGTTTTGGGGTCTTGAATTTGTGTCTTGGCTTTGGTTCTCTATATGGTAGATGCATATGTATTCAAACCATTGCAGATTTGGATCTTTTGATGGATGATTCTAAAAAGGGTAACATTTGCTATATGTGTGCCTTTGATACCAAGATATCCTTTATAAGTAATCAAGATAAAGGGGGACCACAGAATAAGGTTGACAAGGACATTGGTTTTGTAAAAAACAAAAAATCATTTGAGATTTTATTTTAAAATTATCAATTTTGATTTAGTAGAATAGCAGGCTAAGATGTTTTAGTTACAAGCCTGTAACTGGTCTGCGTGTATATATATTTTTGCTGGCATTTTTGTTTAGTAATTTTTTTATTTGTAATTATTGCTGGGAAGTTGTTAGTTTATTGCTCATATATATTGATTATAATAATTAGTATTATCAATTTTTTTTCTCTGTTTTTTGGTTGTAGGGTAATTCTGGTGGACCTCTTGTTAACATTGATGGAGAAGTTATCGGTGTTAATATTATGAAAGTATTGGCGGCTGATGGTTTGGGCTTTTCTGTTCCAATTGACTCAGTCTCCAAAATTATAGACCACTTCAAGAAAAATGGGTATGTTTCAAATTTTATATGAGATTATTGTAACTGTAACTGTTAAATTGCATAATATTAATGATTTTGTTTTGGAATCACGGGTGTCTCTCTCTCTCATGCGCACACACATTCACATTTGAATAGGTGAGAATGTCAAAAGGTATAGGTTCTTTAATTTAATACACATCCAAGTCTCTTTAGATTACCAAGTCATATATTAATTTTGTTGGTGAATGTAGTCTATGCAAGCACTGTCTACTTCACTATTTTGATATATGAACAACAAAATACTCAACAAAGCCTTTTCCCAGCTACTTGGGGTTGGCTACATGAATCATATTTTTTCATTCTGCGTTGTATAAGGCTATAGCCTCATTCAAACTGCATTTGGTCTATCTAGCAAGAACAAAATCATGATGTTAAAGTCTTAAAGTTTGATCTTTTTCTTATTTTACGTTCTGGGTCCATTTATGAATTATACTTCGTTGAGGGAAACTCTCAGTTAACATTATAAGTCTACAAAATTATTGGGCACAAATTAGTAATTTGTGGAACCTAAATTGGTTCAGCGCCTCTATTATTTCTTCCTTCTTTAATCTCAAAAAAAAAAAAAAAAAAAGGGGGGGGGGGGGGGGGGGGGTGGGGGTGGGGGTGTTAGAAGAAGAGAAAGAAAAAGAAAAAAGGAAAAGAATTTTGCAATGGACGCTTTAATAATGCATTGATTATGCTTATTTATACCATTCGAGAACCCTGTATAAATTTCAATTATTGATCTCATGTATGCATAATTGCTATTGGGTCTGTAATTCTGTGCTTTACACTGTGTACGAGTATGATGACCACAAATGTGGCGTTCTGAGAAGGGAAGATTGGAAACATGAGTAACCTTTTTTTTTTGAGAAGGGAAACATAAGTAACCCTTTATATTATTCTTGTACAAAGTAGCTGTTTTGAGACTCGAATCCATGTGCTCACTCTTCACCATTGTGCCAAGCAATGACCCCTCGTATTGTCTTGATAATTCTGTAAGGTGTCTTTTTTTTTTTTTTTTTCCTTGTTAGTTCCATCTTTGATTAAACGCAAGGCAGGATTTTGTCTTCAATTTTTTGGAATCACTTACAATGTTATCTTTAGAAAAATTTCCACGTACATGCGCGTATATACACATGTAGAGAGATAGACGTTGACTTGATGTAGAACAAATAATGCACCGCTACCAATTGATGACGAACTAGAAGGAAAGAAGGGGATGAGAATGAGAGTGAGAATGAGAATGAGAATGAGAAGATGAGATGAGACTAGACGAAAGAGATGGGAAGACAGACGAAGGGGATAAGAAGATAGATTGAAGCGGTAGGATGGAGAGACTGAGGAATTAAGAAAAGCAAGAACACGAGGGAGAAGAAGACGTAGAGGGAGAGTTTTCAAACTCACTAAATTCCAAAGCTAAAAAAACCTTAATAGGCAAAATTATTGCCAAACACTAAAAACCCTAAAAATAGGAATATACTAAAATAACCTAGAACTAAACATTACCAAAAAAATAATAGCACAATTAAAAACCCTAATTTACATAAATTCCTAGTTTCATTTATCTTTGCCCATTCTCCAAAAGTAGAGGCTTAACATGTGCAGCCCATTCATGAAAATCATAGCTTGTTCTCCATCAATTAAATTGTTCCCTGATAATTGATGGAGAATGAGTTATGATCTTCATGGATGAGGCACACGTGTTTCGCCTCTACTTTAGGAGAAGGGACAAAGATAGATGAAAATAGGGATTTGATGTAATTAGGTTTTATTTTTAATTATTTTTGTAATTTTTGGCAGTGTTCTATTTTTAGGATTATTTTAGTATTTTAATATTTTAGGGTTTGTTTATGTTTTTTGCCTATATAAAGGCTCATATGTAATAATGACAGTTTAGCTTTGGAATATTGAAATAATATTTTGAGTTCGAAAACTATCCCTCTGTGGCTTTTCTTAATACCTCAATCTCTCTAGCCTACCCCTTCAGTCTATTTTCTCATCCCATTCGTCTGTCTTCTCACCTCTTTCGTTTAGTCTCATCTCATCCCCTTTTTTCCTTCTGGTTTGTTATCAATTGGTATCAGAGTGCTATTTGTTCTACCTCTATTGATATCAAAGCGAAAATTCCAAGCAAGAGCAAAAGACTCAAGTAACAAAAACAAATAAAAATAAAACCTAATCACATCAAATCCCTATTTTCATCTACGTTTACCCCTTCTCCTAAAGTAGAGGCAGAACACATGTGGCTCATCCATGAAGATCATAACTCTTTCTCCATCATGACTGTATTACAAATGCCTTCCTGAAAGGATAGTTAGTTGATGTCTTATTATATGAAATGATTACCAGGGTCTGAAATTTAGCTTGTGCCACGAGGGCTCTACCTGGAAGGGAGAGAAACTCCAGTCCTTAATGTTCTCCCTTCCCCCACCCCTCCCCTTTTTGGTAGCAAAGAATCAACCCATCCGCTAGCCACTTTGGACTGTAGAATGGTTTGCAAGCTCCGGATATGTGCAATTTAGCCTATGGTGTTTTTGCGACTTAATGCTCCCTTTTCCTATAGGAAGCTAACTTAAGCTCAATTATTATTCAGAATGGTTTGTTTTAATCAAGGTTTTGTGGAATTAAACCCAACAATCTCATTTCAGATGCATTTGAGGGCATCTTTGCATTTTTGTTACATGTGATAGATACTGATTTTATATGCAGGAGAGTTGTTCGACCTTGGCTTGGATTGAAAATGCTTGATCTTAATGATTTGATTGTTGCCCAGCTTAAGGAAAAGGATTCCACATTCCCTGATGTCAACAAAGGTATTCTTGTGCCAATGGTATGTCCTCTCTCTCTCTCTCTCTCTCTCTCTCTCTCTCTCTATATATATATATATATACATATATATATCAATTCTGGTGTCGAATGGAATCTGATTTTCCTTGGCATTGTTGGCAATGGCTGCAGTGCATTATTTGGTAGGAAAATATTTGCCTGCACTGCTGATTTAGACCGGGTTTGCTGCAAAATATTACATATGATTGAAAATGAGTTTACTTCTAGTATTAGTCTTATTCTTGCTGATTATGGTTGGTGACATGATTTTTATTTTATTTTTTTCTTTTTGAAGTTTCGTAGGTTTTGTTATGGTGTTGGTTTGTAGATGCTGGGGGTTCAGATTACTACAGACATGTTAATATGTTGCAAGCCAACATCAAGTTTTCACGCCGGGCGCATCTTTGGCTGGGGAAATGAAGTTTAATTGTCTGAAAATAGGTTTGGTTTGTTCAAATTTGACAAGTGTCATTCCCTCTCCTAGTCCCGCAAATCCCACCCAAAACCATGCATTCCCATCCCGCTTCATATCTCTTTCGCCATTTGCTGTCTATACCAAACAAACGGGGGACTTCCAGCAGCTATTTCTGTTGCTGCCAGAGGTTGAAATCACCGCTAAGCTGCCCGCCTGTTTCTACAAGCTTGTTGGTAGAAATTCTTAGCAGCCGCTGTTTGCTGTTAAAAGTTGGTCTTAGTGATAACTTCCTTATTGTTGATACAAGTTATACAATTAGTGGCAATAAATGTTGTAGTTGAAGAGTAGAGTATTCATTAGAAGTCTTATATACACAGAGGCTAATTTAACTTAGTTGCATGGTAAATGGTTTTGGTGTCACAAAGCTTCAACCCATGGCTTTTCATGGAAAGTCATGCATTAATTCATGCTATACACAAGCTGGATATGCTAAAGCTTCCATCTTTTGGTGAAAATTATTGTTACTTCTTTTTTTTGCAATAAAATTTTTAATATAGCATGTAGCAAGGGAAATTCCTTTAAGCTTGAAAGGGAAGTTCTATAAATAACAATTCTTTGTGGGCAAGACGTTGGATGACTAAGAAATAACAAATGCACAAAATGTGCATGACGGAAATATGAATGTTGAAATGGATGTGTGGCAAGACAAAAAATATTAAATTAGAAATGAAAACATTTGTGGGATGGTTGGTTGAAGTAGCACAGATTGGAGATGAAATGAGAGAAAATCGATTTAAGGTGGGTGGATACATGCAAAGGAGTCCATTACGTGCAGTAGTAAGGAAGAGTGACAAGGTTCGCATTGAGGGTAATGATGGGGGAAGGAAAGACCAAAAGTAATATGGGTAGAATTAGTAAGGAAATATACGATAACACATGGTTTCATTGAGGTTATGGCCTTTGAGTAGAATGGAAAAATAGGATTCATGTAGCTGAACCCAAGTTGGGAAAAGACTGTTTGTAGTCCTTACATGTAGCAAGGATATAAGTGGAAGTGTGTTGGGAAGTGTTTATGGCCCAAGAGCAATGTATAGTTGGCTATGGTTCATTTCTATTCAATTATGTTCTGTATTTTATCATTTCAACATTTTAAGGTGAACCTTGTTTCAATAGTAAATTGGTTTTAGTAAATTTCCTGTTATTAATTTCTAATTTATGCACCAACTGCAACTGATATGCATGTGTATAGATGTTGAAATGCACGAGATAAGGTTAGTCATAAATTTTTCATAAAGATGCAGCTTTCCCAAACTAATGTTTGATAATTTCCCTTAACCAGGTAACTCCTGGTTCCCCTGCTGACCGTGCTGGATTTCGTCCAGGCGATGTTGTCGTTGAATTTGAAGGGAGGCCTGTTGGGAGCATTAAGGAGGTACGGAGAACTTTTTCCTTCCACCAACTAGGTGCAATGAGGAGCATCTTTTAATTGAATCTATACTCTCTATTTAGAAATGATGTGCACATGGCTTGTGATTTCCATATAACTATATGAATTCCGCGTTAGAGGTCTCCAATGGGAGTTTGCTCGACATCATATCAGTAGGGCCCATTAAACTACCCGATTGCATGATTGATTATCACTGGATAGTATTAAGACATAAAACAGAAGGATGTGCTAAAAATGAAACTTGGTGCATTGACTGTCTGTTTAAACTAGTGGAGGTTTTAGTCTAGAAAACCTATTTTGCCTTCAACCTTTTGGCTTCACTACATTATATGTTGAAAGCCACTTGCATGATTATGCATGCTGATTGCTGACATTATTATTGGGTTTATGGCAGATTGTTGAAATACTGGGGGACAACGTCGGGAAACCCTTGAAGGCCGTTGTGAAAAGAGCCAAGGATAGTTCGGTAACTCTTACTGTTATACCGGAGGAGGCAAATCCAGATATGTAAACGACAGTTACGTATAATCAAGCTCTCTAGCAATTTTCACATAGGAATTATAGATCATCTGAGAAGGAAAAGAACGTGTGTTGACCGGATTTCTTTTCTTCATTTGTGCTCCTCTTAAGTGGGAAGTTTTTCATCGGTCTGTATAGCTAGGGATTATTAATGGGAGTAGAAGATGTTTTACAAATTTTGTTCTATTTATTATTATTATTATTATTATTATTATTATTTTTTGTATATTTTTTTTCACAGGTGTTGCAGGTGCTTGAAGAAGACCCTAACATGTCTTTCATAATCCCTGGGCTCCTAGCTATATTTTTGCTCCTCATAAAACAGTAGGATTGTTGGTTATTGAGAATCATTGCCAGTAACTTTTACATTTTAAATTAAGGTTCACTTACATCCACATTACAAATATCATTCCATATCTCTCCAAAGACTTGAAAAATTGAACTAATGATATAAATCCTCATTTTCAAGGTCTTCTTGTTATTTTCCATTCTTATTTTTGTGGTCGGATGTGAAGACTTCCACTAAATTAGTTATAAAAATAGTTATTAATTAGTTCAATGTATTCATAAATTAGTTATCATCAAATATGTATTTTACTTTATATATGTATTTCAGTGTTTCTAAAAAATACATTTACTTTCAATCATGCTATATTAAAAACTATTTTTCCGACAAAAGAATATATATATATATATATATATATATATATATATATATATATATATATATATATGTGTGCATGTGTTAAAAACTATTTTATTTCTATAATTTCTAGTGATTATGAATTTTCAATTATATGTCCCGTTCTGAAAAGGAGTTGATATTAAGTTTTAGTCTTCATGTTAAGCTACAGATTGATGATTCCGGATAATTGAGAATTCATTTTGAATAATTATGAGACTATTACTGAATTTACTGTATTGGTACAGTATTTGTTGAAGGAATTACATAAAAGAAAACTATTTTTTTTTTCTTCTAATATTGCACATTTTTTTGTGTCTTTTCCTGTAATTAGAAAAAAAACATGAGGAGAGAACTATTTGTCCTCATTCGATAGATTCGGGTGCGAATCCTCTGCTATTCCTAACCCTGCAGTCTCCAGCAGTTTAGTGCCTAATGCCTTGTTTGGCTTGGCACAAGAAAAAAAAGTTAACAAACGGCACAGTAAACTTAACGTGCCAACTGTAAACCAGAAAAAAAAAAAAAAAAAGAAAAAAAAAAGAAGAAAGAAAATACGAAAAAGGAAAGTCGAAATAAGTTAACACCCCCGCGCGCGTTTCTGCACTTTCACTTTCCCTTTCTTCCCTTTTGGTTTTGTTACTTCCCTCCTTCCCTTTTCGTTTTGTTCATTATTTTTTTTTAATTTTTTTAATCCAAACTCTAATTCATCTCTCCTTGTTCCATAAAAAACATATTGCTTTTGAAATTCCTTTTTTATTTAAAACACTAATTCCTCCCTCCTCTATTTTTACTTTCTTATTTCCTTTTTTGAATCAAAACCCAGTGATTTCCTTCCAGAAATTGGTGATTTCTTTAATAAGATTCTCCTCTTCATCTACAGGAAAGAAATCTACAATGGACTTGAGCTGGTATCTACAATTGACCTAATTAATGCTTGATGGTTGGTAAGTCTTAATACATGTTATTAATATTGTGCATTTAATAGTATTGTTCATTATTTGTTCAAAATATAGTGAAATTTTTGTTTTGAACTGAACATTGTAGGTTTAGAACTTAATTTACGATTCTTTCATTTGTCATCTGTCATTGTAGGGAATCTAAAATCTTCCATAATTGATTTTTTGAACTGACTTGGCTTCATTAGGTACCAATGCGTTATCCAAAAATTTTGGTATTAAATGTATGCGGCAATTACGCATTTCACAAGTTATTATTTGATATTTATGAGGAAATAAATATTACAAAATTTCATAAATTAGAACACCGATGACCTTCACTATTAAAACAAGGTGTTGGCACAGTGCTAACTAACTTATGTCACACATAAAAGTAAAAAATTATGATTCTTTCATTTATCATCTGTATTGACATTGGTTAAGCATTCTAGTGAATCTTAAATCTTGGATAATTGTAGGATTTTCTTCTATAATCTTCCATAAGCATTTTAGTGAATCTAAAATCTTCCATAATTGATTTTTTGAACTGAGTTGGCTTCATTAGGTACCAATTTGTTATCTAAAATTTTAGGTTTTAAATGTATGCGCCAATTACACATTTCACAGGTTATTTTTTGATATTTATGAGGAAAAAAACATTGTGAAGTTTAATTAATAGGCACACTGATCACGTTCACTATCAAAATAAGGTATTAACACAGTACTGAATATCTAATGTCACACATAAATTTAAGAATTTTTAATTCTTTCATTTGTCATCTGTTAGTGTAAATTATGATATTTTTTAGTTGAAATTGACATTGGTTAAACATTCTAGTGTATTTGAAATATTGGATAATTGTAGAGTTTTCTTCTATAATCTTCAATAAGCATTCTAGTGAATGTAAAATCTTCCATAATTGATTTTTTGAACTGAGTTGGCTTCATTAGGTGCCAATGTGTTATCCAAAATTTTAGGTTTTAAATGTATGCGCCAATTACACATTGCACAGGTAATTATTTGATATTTATGAGAAAAAATATATATATATATATATTGTGAAGTTTAATAAATAGGCACACTGATCACCTTCACCATCCAAATAAGGTATTCACACAGTGTTGAATAACTAATGTCACACAAAAATTTAAGAATTTTTAATTCTTTCATTTGTCATCTGTTAGTGTAAATTATGATATTTTTTTGTTGAAATTGACATTGGTTGTGCATTCTAGTGTATCTGAAATCTTGGATAATTGTAAGATTTTCTTCTATAATCTTCAATAAGCATTTTGGTGAATGTAAAATCTTCCATAATTGATTTTTTGAACTGAGTTGGCTTCATTAGGTACCAATGTGTTATCCAAAATTTTAGGTTTTAAATGTATGCGCCAATTACACATTTCACAGGTAATTATTTGATATTTATGAGAAAAAAAAAAACATTATAAAGTTTAATAAATAGGCACACTGATCACCTTCACCATCCAAATAAGGTATTCACACAGTGCTGAATAACTAATGTCACGCATAAATTTAAGAATTTTTAATTCTTTCATTTGTCATCTGTTAGTGTAAATTATGATATTTTTTAGTTGAAATTGACATTGGTTAAGCATTCTAGTGTATCTGAAATCTTGGATAATTGTAGGGTTTTCTTCTATAATCTTTAATAAGCATTCTAGTAAATGTAAAATCTTCAATAATTGATTTTTTGAACTGAGTTGGCTTCGTTAGGTACCAATGTGTTATCCAAAATTTTAGGTTTTAAATGTATGCGCCAATTACACATTTCACAAGTTATTATTTGATATTTATGAGAAAAAAAAAAATTGTGAAGTTTAATAAATAGGCACACTGATCACCTTCACCATCCAAATAAGGTATTCACATAGTACTGAATAACTAATGTCACACATAAATTAAAGAATTTTTAATTCTTTCATTTGTTATCTGTTAATGTAAATTATGATATTTTTTAGTTGACATTGACATTGGTTAAACATTCTAGTGTATCTGAAATCTTAGATAATTGTAGGGTTTTTTGGCCCCTTTCATTAGTTTGGTAAATATTTAGTATTTTTTTTGGCCTCTGATAGTGCATTTCTCTTTCTCTGTTTAGGCAAGAGGTGTACAATAATTTCACATGGGATCATCTTCAACCTCAAGAAATCATTCTTACCCCTATGAAGTTGGTTTGAAAAAATATTACTGCAATTGTGGAGTTAGAAGTCCTTTGAAAATAGAGAAAAATAATATCTATGTGTGTATCTGAATTCCATATAAAAGTATCTGAATTCACCATACTGTTATGTTCTTATTTGAAGTGAAAATAGAGAAAAATAATATCTATGTGTGTGTGTGTGTATATATATATATATATATATATTAATAAGAAAGCATAAAATAAAAATAAAAAAAGAAGTAAAAAAAATACTACATTCACCTTCTCAACTAAGTATTCACACCCTGCTGTATAAGTAATATCACATATCAAACTAGCTTTAATCAAGCTATAACAAATGGAGCTGCAGAATAATTTCAAACAAAAAAGATTAATTTCCTATGTCCTTGTATTCAATTACATCAGTTTTACATAACCCTTACGTGAAAGCTTTTAGTTCTAAAAACGGAGAAGAGTTTAAGACAGCCTTACGTGAAAGCTTTCAATTCTGAAAATGGAGAAGAATTTAACATAGTAGAGACTTGCTAAAGGATATATGTTAATGAGGTA